TCATATGGCATAAGGGTAACTCACCTTCTATAACAGAATGCTGACCAGCCCCTGAATTGTGGATGCATCTTAGCCAAGATGTGCCTAAGCTCCTGCTAGGGATATAGCCAGGAAGGTGCTTGAGTGGTCTCCTTTAGGGTACTCCCTCCTCTTATCTATTGTGGCTCCATTCAAGGGACCCCACATACACCAAGGGCAATATACCTAGTAAACCCACTGTCTCAGACTGCATGGCTAAAAATTTTAAAAAGGGATTTAGTTGGGAATATGGAGTTAAACTGAAACCCACAAGATTGCGAGCCCCCTGTGAAATAGATTGGCCCCAGTTCAGTATAGGGTGGCCCTCTGAAATGACTCTAAATATCCAGACAGTGCGTGCAGTATGGAGAGTTATCACTGATAAACCAGGCTAACTCAACCAGTTCCTTTATATTGACTCCTGGCTAGAGGTTTCTTGGACCCTTCTGCTGTGAGTTAGATTCTGTGAGAACAGGCAGGGAAGATTCAGCTTTTTGTGGCCTGAGATCCAAACTGAAGACCCTAAAAAGACAAGATGATTTATCAGAGTGACCTGGAAGAAGATCTCCAATTCCCACCTTATGTTCTTGATCCCCCTTCAGTTCCTCCCTGACCAGTCTTGCCTTACAGTCCTCCCCCATCCAGCCCCCTGATGACCTCAAATCTGCCAGTACCTGCCCCAGTGGCCAGCCCACCTCCAGCACCTCAAGTGTCTCCAAACAGTCCACTGCTCAGTCCTCTGGCAGTTCTGTCTCCAGCTAGTCCTCTTCCCTACCCACCACTCCCTGTACCGGCCTCCAGCCCCATCACTGTCTTGCTTGTTGATGAGATCGCTTCTCCTGAGATTCCTCTAGTTAGACACCTTTGCTCAGCCCAGCTGCCTGCCACTCAGCTGCCTATCTGTGAGACCTGACCTCTGACATATATCCTGGACTATGGCACCATCCAGCCCAGACATTCCATTCTCTACTACCAGTCTTTCACCACCTTCTGAACCGGAAACAACTTACCTCCTATTATTCAGAAAAGCCTCAGGCCCTCCTCAACCTCATAGAATCCATCTTCCAGACTCCCTGCACACCTGAGATGACTGTCACCAGCTGCTCCTCATCTTCTTCAACACTAAGGAGAGATGTAGAATTTTCATCGAGGCTGAAAAGTACCAACAGGAATGGGCCCTTGGAGGACCCATGGAACCTGAAGAATGAGCAACAGCTGTGGCTTTTGATTCCAAGCCAGACTGGGACTTTCACATCCCTGTTGGACAAGAATTTCTCAAGTGATATTGAGAGGCCAATAGGTCTGTGCTGGAGCTAAAAAGCCAAGAAACATGTAAAAATTGGCCTAGGACAGCTGGGGATTTAGCTCAGTGATGTCTCTGCCTGCCTCCCAAGCAAAAGGTCCTGAGTTCAATCCCCAGTATCACACACACACACACACACGCACACACACAAAAGCCTAAGTAACCCAAAAGCTAGACAAGTCACCTGGCGATTTCTTTGAGTGACTCTGTAAAGCATTTCATGTCTTCATGCCTTTCCATCTGGAGGTCTCTGGAAATCAGAAGATCTTCAATGCTGCCTTCATAGCCCAGTCCACTCCTGATAGCCATCACAAACTCCAAAAACTTGAAGGATTTGCTGACATGAATGCCACTCAGCTGCCTGAAATTGCCACAAAGCTCTTTGCCAGCCAAAGCTCAAAAGAATGGTTACTAATTGATACAAACAGGTTTCTCCAAAAATGGGAAAAAACCTCAAGGTGCTACCCAAAAGACTCACACAAGACAAGCACCCCCTCTTACAGGAGCATCCCTAGCCTTCACACTGAGTGCATGGGAAGGATATAATGGAGCCATCCTACATTGCTATTATGTCTACAACTATTTTTGTCTGTCTTCTGTGGGTACTTTCTGGCTCTATGGAACTTCCGCCTGTCTTTGCCTCCCTACTAACTAGACAAGAACTTGCACTCTTGTCTATCTTAGCCACAAGATACTCATTGCCCCTGGAGACACTGACTTTCCAATCACACTCACAATGCTGAGCTCCTTTTCTGATTCATCTGATAGCAGGTTTAGGAATAAGTTCAGGAATTGGGTCTAGAGTCAAAGGCATAACCACTGCAGCCCTCACCTACCAGTCATTCTCTCAAGAGTTAACCAATACCTCAGAAAAAAATCTCTAATCCTATAAATGACCTAGAAAGAGATTATTCAGCTGCACTCACTCTTCAAAACCACTGTGCCTTAGACTTACTAATAGCAGAAAAAGGGGATACCTGTATCTTTTTCAGGGAAGAGTGCTGTTTTTATGTTTACAGAGCAGGGGTCATTCATCAGACTGCAAAAAGTCTCCAAGGCAGTGCTGCCAAACTCCAGGAGCAATCCCAAACCAGTGGATTTTGAGTTCTCCTGGGGTGACTGGACATCAAGGTTTGCCTCTCTGCTTGGGACTTTGGTCCCCCTCTTCCTGTTGCTGATGTTTTGCCCATGTCTCACAGAGTTCCTTTGAGAAGAGGTTCAGGCTCTCACAAAACAGTCAGTGTATCAACTATTGGTGAGAGCTCACCTAGACTACAACCCTGTAGCTTGCAGTGATGCCCTGTGAGGCTATGCCTATATAAGGGCATCAAAGGAAGGAAATGATAAGGAAATAATGCACAATAGGACAGGCCTTTGTCTATTCCCATGCCCCTCCCTGGATGTTTTTTTGCCATAAGATGTTCTGTTTAAGCAATCTAACAATTTGAGCTGCACAATGCTTCTACCTGATGTTTCAAGATGTTCTGTTAACTGCCTTTCCACTTCTGTGAGTATACTTGCCCAGTATGTGGCTCCATCTCCTTACCCCGTAGATCTCTATATAAAGTCGCTTCTATTCTTTCTTCCATTTGGAGTATGAACTCCTCTAAGCCTGTATAATAAAAAACGTGTTTCTCTCCATCTCTCTCTGAATGTTGCCCTCAGTCTCTTTACCTCTAGATACCTTTGGATAGCTGTAACACTTGGCTGTAATGCTGAGCTTTCACACTTCATTGTAACATATTAACTGCCTGTAATAACACTATGGGCTGAAGGCTCTAGGGAGGGGTGAAGGCCTTTGGCATACAAAGCCTGGAGCCCCTATCAGAGGTACATTTTGCTGATGTGATTTCTGTCCAAATCAAGCAAAAGAATCCTTGATTGGCATCACAATAAAAATTGAAAGTCATTTAATAAATTTATCCTTGGATTAGTCGGAATACATAAAAAAGAGGCTTCCTGGGCTTGGTGTAGCATACCTGTAATCCCAGCTACTTAGGAGCCTGAAGCAGGAGGATCACAAGTTTCAGACCACCCTAGGAGGCTTAGTGGGACTTTACTTAAAAAAAAAGTATGGGGCAATAGCTTAGTGTTCCCTGAGTTCAATCCCCAATGCTGCTACAAAGAATGTGGTGCTGGGGTGGTTAACTAAATTTTGGAGTTTCAAAGGCATGTTGCCCGTTTGCTGAATTTATCATGTTGGTGAATGGTGTATGGAAATGGCAAGAGTATATGTTGAGGCAAGTGTCACACCTCAGAGATAAGTGGGGCCAAAATGAGGCTTTTGTAACAATGCTTTGGTAAGAACTACCAAGTTTATCGAGAAGTATTTCAGGAGAGCACACTCTGAACTCAGGAGCCCCCCAGTAGGTCTTATCATCTTTTTTTTTAAACTGGTGACCGAACCCAAGGCCATCCCACTGACCTACCTTCCCAACCCCTTTTTATCTTTATTTTTTATTGTGAGACAGGGTCTTGCCCAATTTCCAGGGCTGGATTTGGACTCTTGGTTCTCTTGTCTCAGTGTCCCTAGTGGTGTGATTACAATTGTGCAGCACCACGGCTGGCTCTTTCAGAGAAGAGGTTTTGTCCAGTGCAGTATTTCTTCATTTCATTAAATGAATAGTAAGTCTTAAAATTCTTTTTTCAGACAGAATAGCTTTTTTTGATTTTGCTACTTATAGTTTTACTGTATTGTTATCACAGGATTGTTCTCTCTGTTTTGGACCAAGATTAATGTGTCTCCTGTTAATGATGTGCCTCTATTTCTCTTCACATATACTAGTTTCGTCCTTTTGAAGTACTGATTTCTTGCACTGATATGCGAAATTGCTGTTTAACCGTGTAGATTTTAGTCTTACTGTAAGGACAGTTAGAGAAGGGTGGACAGATGAGGTAGGACATGACCTGAGTGGCTGATGGTCGTGTATATATCATAAGCTTATCATATGCTATGTACTCGAGGAAGCTAGCCTTTATGAAATTATAATACACACTTGCTACAACCTCCTAGCTCCTTGACTTTTTCCTTAACCCAGAAAGAAAGGCTAAGACCCAGATTGGCCTAGATTACACCAATTAGTGAAACAGTTAATTGTAGAAACCATCTTATTCCTGTGAGTACAGTGGCCCCATCCGTGGGAAATTCAATCCAATTCCACATGCCTTAAAGCCCGTTATTGTAAGGCAGCCAATTCTCCTGCATTACCACAAGTAATTAAAACTTTTGCTTCGCACTACTTTCACTTGGCTTCCTCATTCTGTGCTGACCTTTTTCTCTGCTGGGGGCCTTCGACTCTGAGCAAGTCAAGCCTCACTTCCCTATTCTCCCCCGGAGTGGAGATAAGGGACCGAGAGATAGGGGGTGGGAGGGAAGACAGAAGGTCAGCTAAGACCCCTCTGACAACAATACAATGCGTCCTTTTTGGCAGTGCCTTTTGGTCTCAGTCCTGTGTTGTTCGCAGTAACACCTCAGCACGCCTGGGCCCCTGCAGCGATAGAGACCCTGCGTTCACTCTTACACTGGTGCTGGGTGTTCTGGCTCCGTGGATCGAGCCAACCTTGAGAAGGGAGCCTGGAAACCTGAACCCCCACATAGCACTCTGCAAGAAGTTTGCAGATCGGGGGAGGCCGGCTCAGCGTGCGACGCGTTGGGATGACGCACTTCCGGCCGCGCGGCCCTCTTGCTCTTTGCTGTCTCCTACACCGTGCTGTTTCTAGCTCTGAGGTCGCCACGGTAGGCGGCTCTGTGACTGCGCAAGTATTCGGGCTTGGAGAGTTTGGCCCCAGTTAGGCCAGGCCCACGGTCCCTCGGTCACTCCAAACCTGGCCGAATCCGGGTGCCGAGCCCTGAGATTTTAAGAGTGGAGGCGGCGTCCCTGCGAGCGACTCAGCTCGCACCTTCTCGGTCCTGGTGGTTCGCAGCGATGGCTCTCAGCTTCCGGACAGCTTCGTGCTGGGTAAGTAGGGTTTTCTCTTGCTTTTTAAAAGCAGACTGCACACCTTGGGTGGCCACATTCATCCTTACATGGTCACATCCAGGACCTGATGCCTCTTATCTTTGTCCACACCTGATGCCCCTAAACCAGAAACGTTCGTTTTGATATTTTGTGTGCTGTCTTTATACTTCGTTGACCGCTGTGGGCTCAGAATTCTGAGATTTCTTCTTAAGCACTGGCTTTTCTTGTGTCTTATGCAGACCCTTAGGACTTTTGGGGGGGGATATTACTCTTCCTCTTTCGTATGTTTGTGAAAACGCTCATTCATTGTCTTTTGTGTGTGTGCGGGCCATGAGGCTGGTGCTAACAATGGGAAGATAAATGATGTGTTCCTTGTTTTAGAAGAGCTGTGGTCTAACAGGAAGGGTAATTGAGAAGGCAGTGGACACAATTACAGGTGATGGACAAGAGGCAAGAGAGGAGCTCGAAGGTACAAAGGATAAATGAGACGTTTGGGCAAAGGTAATGGATCCCTGGAGGTTTTTAAATGATTGATGAACTTGAGAGAGGGGAGATATCACCCTGCTGCGATTGCCAGGGGTGGTAGTAATGTTTCCTGAGACTAGGAACGCAGTTATATGTGCGTCTGCAGCTGCAGTGGGCAGTGTAAAGTACAGTATATATGGGTTAAAGGAACTTACATTCACAGAAGCTCAGAGTGAATGTGACCAACTGAAATCCTGAAGAGCACCGAGGTGAAGACTTGGGATAATGACAAGGAAAGGACCCCTGATGAAGGGCTGGAGTGCAAAAGAAGTGAGAAGGAGTGGAATTTCTCAAAAATTTAAGAACTTCATAAGAGCCATGATATGAAGTGCTACAAAAAAAAGGTACCTGTTGAGACAAAAAGTTATTGGTTGAATTTGTGAATGTTTTATTCCTAAGAAATTTTTCCAGAGCAGAGATTTTGGAGTGGTGCAGATTTTTAAAAAAATATTTTTGTAGCAGGTAGAGGATGTTTGCAAAGTGAATTATGTGAGGCTGTAGATAGCAGGATGAAAGAAATGATTAGGAACAGTACATCATTTTTAGGCAGTCAAGTTAAGAAAAATTGGGATGTCAAAGGGGAAGAAATTTCAGTGAGGTGGCCAGATGAATACAGTTAACCAAAAAAAATCAATGAGCTTTGTTTTTAAACAATTGTATAGAAAGTATCGTTAGAGAAAATAACACCACTTAAAATGGCAATTAAAATAATTATCCTGGATACTTGGGGTATCCTAAGTTAAAGACCAGCCTGGGCAACTTAGCAAGACCATGACTCAAAATAAAAAATTGAAAGGTTGGGGATGTAGCTGAGTGCGAGGCTTTGGGTTCAATTAGAGGAGGAGGAGGAAAGAAGAAGAGGAAGAGGAAGAGGAAGAGGGAAGAAGAAAGAAAAGAAGAAGAGGAAGAGGAAGAGGAAGAGGGAAGAAGAAGAAAGAAAAGAAGAGGAAGAGGAAGAAGAAGAGAAGAAGAAGAAGAAGAAAGACAACCACTTTAAAACTAATGAACAATATTACTTACCATTGTTGGTGAGTCACTCTTTTAAGCAGATCATGTGTGAAGTTATTCAAACCTCGTGAGTATGTTTTATGGACAAGGAAACTGGGAACCCATGGTCCCAAACTTTAAGGAATACCAAGAAATTAAGATAACAAAGCTAGGACTTAGTCCTAAGCAGGTTATCTGCAGAGTTTGTGCTCTTATTGCCTGTCAGCACCTAAGAGATGTTTTAACTAATGTAAACAAATTTTCCTTGTTTTAGAGTGAATGTGTTACTAGACTCCTAGGCCAGAGTCCCAACTCTGGGGCTTCCAACAAATCAGCTGTGGCCACTCACTCCAAAACCCAAAGAAGAAAATAATAGTAAAAATCAGGAAAGAAACTTTATAGTCAGTGTGGCTGTACCAGGAAGACAAGGGGACTAGCATTTTCAGCCATGTCTTTAAGAGTTCCAAAATTATATGGAGAACAGGCAAGAAGTATGCATAATTAAGCAATCTTAGTCAAAGTGTGGTCTGATGGACCATTATGGGGGAGGGGATGATGACACTTCAGGAGAGAATGACTAGAAAAAATAAAAGTCCAAATGAAAGCAGAGATGCCAAGCTTTTTACCCTGTTTTTAGTCACCCATTGTAGACCCAAGAGTTAGTGCCTTTAGTACAAACAGCCTAAGACCTTATTACATATATTAATATAACAAATATTTTGTTTGATATTGTTTGTATCATAAATGTGTCTCAGGGGCCCATGTGTTACAGTCTTAATCCAGAGTGGTGCTATTGGGAGGGACCTTGGGGGAAATTTTGTGTCCCTGGGATCATCATGGCGTAGAAAGGGACAGTGACATTCCTGCCCCTTCTTCTGATCTTTTGCTTCCCATCCCTGAGGTGAATAGTTTTGTTCCCCAACATGGTGCAATGATGCATTGCCAGAGGCCCAAAGCAAAGGGGCCAACCTGTCAGGAACCAAAAGCGCTAAAACTGTAATGGAAATAACTCTTTTCTCTATAAGTTTGTTTGTTACAGTCATGGAAAGCTTACTACTGTTATGCCAGGACATTTTCTAGAGCATGCAGGGCTGATGACGACTGACAGAGTCTGTGGCCACAAGGAGGATAACAGGCAACTCTCAGAGGAGCATCAATAAACAAAAAGTTGTGAGTGGTATGTGGATAAAGGGGCGGCTGGGTGGTTAGTTTAGATGTCAGAATTAGGAAACCCTCTCTCAAGGATCATTTAAATAATCTGACAGTGTAATAATCAAAGGAAGATGGAGTGGGTGAAGGAAACCACATTCCAGGCCTTGGAGGAAGTTAAAGCTTAAACCTTCAGGCAGAAACTAGAAGGTTCCTTTGTCAGGTGGTAAAAAAGCTTGAGTGCTGAGGGAGTGTGGAACCCTAATGTTAACCAAGGCCAGATTGCGTTGGCACTTCATGTGAGGTTAAGAACCATGCTGGAAAGCCTTGGTTATTTTATTTTGTTTTGAAATAATTTCAACATCACAGAGAAGTTGCAAGGATACTAATTAAGACTGCTCTGATATGGAATAAAATTTTTTTCTGTATACCCTTTGTCCAGATTCCCTAGTTAAAATTTTGCCACCATTAGCTTTCTCATTCTCTATTTATGTATCTGTGTATATAAATGCCCATACTTACCTTCCTTTCTTCTTCCTCACCTTCTATCATTCTAGTCTCATATCCTTCCACTTTGCAAACTGGTTTTGCCTTCATACTTCCCACTTCCAGGCTTTCTCTCTTCTTTCTTTCCTCTGTTTCTCCTTTTCCTCCCCTCCCTTTCCCTTTCTTTCTCTCTTTTCTTTTTTTTTTTATTGTCACAAATACTTCAGAAATATACTCATAGTATAAAAGATTCCTTCCTCTTCCCATTTTACTTCCCAGAAAAAAGTACCATTTGCTTTTTGTTGTGCAACCTTCTTGTGTTATTTGTGTGTGTGTGTGTGTGTGTGTGTGTGTGTGTGTGTGTGTGTGTATAGGATCCTGTACATAGGGATCTACTTTATGTTTTAATATGAGAATAGCTTTATAGCTTTTCCGTGTCTTGTGATATTAGGGATTGATCTGAGGGTTTTCATGCTGAGTTGTATCACCGGCACGTTTAAAAAAATTTTATTTTGAGACAGGGTATTGCTAAGTTGCCCAGGCTGGTCTTAAGCGTGCAATACTCCTGTCTCAGACTCCCAGAGTACCGAGATTACAGGTGTGTGCCACCAAGACTGGTTGCCTTTTTTTTTCTTTTTTTAAATGTAATTTTAATTGTATTCTCCTTTTTTGTTTTATTTTCCAGTACAGTGGTACCTTGGTTCACAAACTTGATTCTATGATTCTGATCACACACTGAGTTGAACAAGAACTGAATCAAATTCAATGGTTAGTTTCAGTGTTGACCTTATGGGGAAATTTGATTTAGTTATCATCCAGTTTTGTTGGCAGAGAGAATTGAGTTCGTGATCCAAGGTATCCCTTGTACTAGGGATTGAACACAGTGTGTGCTACTATACCTCTTAATTTCATTCTCCTTTTAGAAAATGCCTTTTAGAAAACCCTGAGCACTACTGGTGTAGTAGCTTAGATGGTTTCTGTCTCAACAGTTTCCACAGGAAATGTAAGGTGTTGGGTTTACTATTTCCCTGTAAATTTATTTTGGTGGTACATTAGTGCTTGGGGAAACTTCTTCTAACATTTAGTTTTCTATCCTACAGTGTAAGTGGGCCATTTTATTGAGCTGTTTCTCCACCAATGGGCATTTAAGTCCTGTGAACCAACTTCCCTGTGTCCTGGCTGTGAGACCCCACCCCGCTCCAGCTGATAACCTTTACCACCAGAGATCTTACCTTTCTTGCCCTCAGATGTAAAGTTCAGCTTTGACCTGCTGACATTTTCTATTCTTTTGACATATAAATATGTTTAAATTTGTTAAAATAATTGAATAGGGCCGGGGATTTAGCTCAGCAGTTCGGTGGCCTGCCTTGGAAGCGCAAGGACCCGAGTTCAATCCCTGGTACCAAAAAAAACAAAACAAAACAAAACAAAACAAAAACCCAAAACAAAACAAAATAAAATAATTGAATAAATTACTTGTGAGTTTAATATGTGGTCAGGTAGAATTTCAGGTTTGCTTAATTCAACATTTTAAAAAAGTATTAGGGGCCTGAAGAGTAGCTCAGTGGTAGAGTGCTAGCTGATCATGAGTGAACCTGTGGGTTTAATTCCCAGCACCACACGCATGTGCTCATGCACACAGAACACAGTTTAGGCCAGGTGCCATGAGTACACCTATAGTCATAGTTACTTAGGAGGCTGAGGCAGAAAGAACATTTGAGTCATAGAGGCCAGCCTGGGCAACACAGCAGGGCCCTAACTTAAAACAGCAGCAACAAGAATAAGTAAAATAAAAAAAGGTTTGTTTTTATATAAATATATTGTATATCATTATTCTGCAGTTTACCAAAATATCTCTATAGAACGAATGTATCATTTTTTTTCTATCATTGAGTTTATTGGTACATTTTAGGTATACAGTATAGTTACATTCATCATTGGGATCTTGTACCTTTACATGACAGGTCTTGGTTCTCATTTTCTCCCCTTGTCTCTGGCCTCCCTTCACCCCCTTCTCCCCTCCCCATTTACAAACACTTCATTTTCATTTTTTATTTTCTCATATATATATATATATTTTTTCCCTTATTACTTTTCTCCTACCCTTCCCACTTTCCCTACACCTTTAGCCCTTTTCTTCCTATTTCACATTGTCAATTATATCATTAGGACCTTATGTACTGTTATAGTTTTTCACACCAGCTAAATTATTCAGTATTTACATGTGTGACTTATTATTTCGCTTAGGAGTTATCCTCAATATGTATCCATTTTCCTATGAATGAATCTAATTTCTCATTCTTTATGGCTGAGTAGTATTCCATTTTATAGAAAAACCACATCTTCTTTATCCAGTCTCCAACTGATGGGCAAATGGGTTGTTTTCAAGTTTTAGCTATTACAAATTGTGCCACTATAAACATAGGTGTGCATATATCACTGTAATAAGATTCTTTTAATTCTTTTGGAAAGATACCCAGCAGAGGGATGGCTGGGTCAAATGGAACCTCTAGTCCCAGCTCTTTGAGGTATCTCCATATTGATTTCCATAGTGGTTGCACCAGTCTGCACTCCCACCAACAATGAAGGGTTCCTTTCTCCCCACAACCCCACTAACATTTGTTATTGGTTGATTTCTTTTTTTTTTAATTGAATTTATTGGTACATTCTAGGTAGACAGTATAGTTACATTCATTACTGGGATCTTGTACCTTTACATGCCAGGTCTTGGTTCTCATTTTTTCCCCTTGTCTCCACCCTCCCTTCACCCCCTCCCTCCCCTTCCACCTGCAAACACTTTAATTCCATTTTTACATTTTCTCATATTTTTTTGGTTGATTTCTTGATAGCAGCCATTCTTTGTGGGGTGAGGTGGAATCTCAGTGTTGTTTTCTTCGGCATCTCTTGAATGACCAGTGATGTTGAACATTTTTTCATATATTTACTTGCTGCTTTTACTTCTTTGTCTGAGAAATGTCTGTTGTAGAATGAATATATCATATTTGTATTAGTTACTTTCCTATTGGAAATTTTTGTTAATTATTTTTGTTTTTTTCTTTCTTTGTATTGTTTTTTTTTGAGACAGAGTCTCGCCAAGTAGTTTAGGCTGGCCTTAAACACACTATGTAGCCCAGGCTGGCCATGAGGCCTTGAACTCGTGATTCTCCTGCCTCAGTTTCCTGAGTGCTAGGATTACAGGCATGTGCAATCACACCTGGCTTATGTTCATTTTATTACTACTATAGATTTTGAAACAATGAACAGTTCTACACATATATAAATATTTCCTATTTCATTAGTTTTTAAAGTTTTTTTAAGGAGTAGTTTTTGGTTTATAGCAAGATTGGGAAAATGGTATGGAGATAGCCCATACATCTGCCCCCAAAAATGCATAGCCTCCCCTATTATAAATATTCTACTAGAAGAGTATTTTTATTGATTACCTCAAATCCATAGTTTCCATGGGGATCCACTCTTACTATTGTATGTACAGTGGATCTAGGCAAATATACAGTGACGTATACTTAGCATTGTAGTAGCATAGAGAAAAGTTTTTGTTTCTTGTGGTACTGGGAGTTGACCTAGGGTCTCATTTATGCTAAACAAGATAGATACCTGTCCCATCCTCCTTTTTCTGGAGACAGAGTCTCACTAAATTGCCTAGGCTGGCCTTAAGCTTGCAATCCTCTTGCCTCAGCCTTCTGAGTAGCTGGGATTACAGGTATATACCACCATGCCCAGCTTTATACAGAATGGTTTTATTGTCCTAGGAATCCTGTGTTGTACCTATTCATCCTTTACCCTGGCAATTCCTAGTATTTTTACTGTATTTAAATAGATACATTTTAGGAATATCAGAATTAGAAACATACTTACATATTTTCAGAATGGCTTCTTTTACTTAATTATTTACTCCTAAATTTCTTCTATATCTTTTTAGTTGCTTGATAGCTTGTTTAGTATTGAATAACATTCTATTGTCTACATATGCCACAGTTTACTGTATTTATCCATTTACTATTGAAAAATGTCTTGGTTGCTTCCAAGTTTTCACAATTATGAATAAAGCTGCTTTTAAACATTCATGTGCAGGTTTTTTTTGTGAACTCAAGTTTTCTGGGTAAATTCTAAGGATTTTAATTCTTGGATCTTATGGTAAGAGTATGTTTACTTTTTTGTTAAAAAAAGTGCCAAATTTTCTTCCAACATGGTTCTATTATTTTATATTTTCACCAGCAATGAATGAAAATTCCCATTGCTCTTACATGGACTAATCTTTGCCCTGAAGGTTTGACATGTCTGTGGTACAACAAAAACGTTTTAAAATAGAGGAAATTTTATGACTTAAGTACATGAACTATATTATATGTGCTCTATGTGGCCCATGACAATTTCTTTTCACTCATTTTAGCCTAGGAAACCCTGGTGTGTCCAACCTCTGGGCCATGGGTTCTATCCTTACCAGCAGTTGGTGGTGTCCCTGTTCTGAATTTTGGCCATTTTTAAGTTTAAAGAAGTCTAGCTTATTAATTACAGTATTGTGGATTATTCCTATAGTGCCGTGTCTAAAAGGTCAGCTAAGCCCAACATCATTTAGGTTTTCTTTTAGAAGTTTTATAGGTTTGTGTTTCACATTTATATGTGATCCATTTTGAGTTTTTATGCAGAGTATAAGGTCTATGTTTGTTTCTTTTGCTTGTGGATATCCAACTGAAAAGACTTTTCTCCATTTTTCTTTTATTTTTTTCATTATTTGAGACAGGGTCTCACTGTGTGGTTCAGGCTGTTTTGTTGTTTTTGTTGTTTTGTTTTGATTTTTGGTACCAGGGATTGAACTTGGGTCCTTGTGCTTGTGAGGTAGGTGCAAGCTGGTTTTGAACTCACTGTGTAGCCCAGACTTGCCTCAAACTTGCCAAAATCCTCCTTCCTTACCCTCCCAAGTTCTTCAGTTGCATATGTGCACCACCATTCCCAGCTTCTCCATTGTTTTGCCTTTGCACTTTTTTCAAAGATCAGTTGACTCCAGGTCAGTCTCAACCACATAGTGAGACCCTGTCTCAAAAAAACCAAAAAAAAAAAAAAAACCAAAAAAACAAAAACCAAAAAACAAAATCAAAGATCAGTTGAGTGAGTATATAAATGTATCTATTTTAAGACTTACTGTTCTATACCCGTTGAGCTAATTCTTTCTCCAATACTAAATGTCTTGATTATTTTAGCTTTATAGTAAGTCCTGATTTCAGGTAGTGTTAGCCTTTTCAAATTTATTAGCCCTTCTATATATTTTTGGCTATTCTATCTTTCACCTTTACATATAAACCATAGAGTTAGTTTGTTGAATCTATAAAATAATGTGATTTTGATTTGGGTTGCATCAATTCTAGATTAGAGGGGGGAGAACAGATAACCTTGACACTATCGAATCTTCCTACCCATGAATATGAAATGTCTCCATTTATTTAGTATGTCTTTTCTTTTCTTGTCTTTCTTCCTTTCTTTCTAAGAGGAAACATTTATTTTGGCTCCTGGTTTGGGAAGTTCCAGACAATGATTAGTTAGCTTTGCTGTTGTGGGCCTATCATGAGGCAGCACACCTTGCAGAAGTATGTGATATTTCTTTCTTTTTAAAGTTTTTATTATTTATATTTGCAGCTCTGGAGATTGAGCTTTTGTACTTCTGAGCCACAGTCTCAGCTCTTTGTTTATATTTTTATTTTGAGACAGGATCTCACTGAGTTGCCTAGACTGGGATCAAATGTCTTTCTGCCTTGGTCTCTCAAATCATTTGGATGATAAGCATGTGCCTTCATGCCCAGCTCTTTTATTTGGAGATAGGTTTGTGCTAAGTTGCCCAGGCTGGACTCAAACTTGTGTTCCTCCTGCCTTAGGCCAACAAAGTGCTAGTGATATACTGTGTGCCACTGTGGCTGGCTCACTATGAACATTTTTGTACTTGTGTTTTGGTAGATGTGGCAGCTCATTTCTTTTAGGCATATACCAGGATTGTCAGTTTTACCAGTTTTGACATTTGGGGCCAAATGTCAAAACTGCCCATGGAGATACCGTTAGCACTATGCCAATGTGACAACTCTTAAGTGGCTCCAAACACTGTTAGATGTCATCTGAGGATAGGACAAAATCCCTTGCTCCCCATTGAGAACCATTGAGCATATATTTACTTTGGAGAGAGATTTGCCTTTTAGTTTGGTTGGTATAAGATTTTAGAATAAAAATTATTTTTCTCAGTGCTTTTTTTTTTTTAGGAAATGTTCTTCTGTTCTTTCCCTAATATGTTCTCTTTATACTTTATTTTTGGAAGTTTTTTTTTTTTTTTTTAACCATCTGCTTAAATTTGGGCCAGTTTTGGTAACCGATCTTGCTTTTTAATGGTAGGGTTTTCACGTATGAACTCCCATATGGTTCATTCCTGGAAAGTTTTCAGCTTGTTTTTCTTTAAGCATTGCCCTATTAGGTATCTTTTTTATATCACTTGTCTTGGTATTCTCCACAGGAAAGACAGGAAAGGTATTCTGAATCTGGCCCTCTCCTGTTCCCCACAGGAGCCCTGTCTTCAGTCTGAGATGTTGCAGTATCTGCAGCTTACTGGGTTCTGCCTGTATTCTACATGGTGCATTTCCTGTGCATGGGGAGCTCAAGTTATCTCCTATGTATCTGTTCTTGTCACTGGACATAAAAGAAAACAGCTGCATTTCTGAGTTCTCCTGCTGTTCATTTCCAGCCCCTTCTCTGGTTGTTCAGATGTGACTGTGGTATGAAAGCCATCTTAGACTTGGGTTATCCTGGGAGTGGTAACCCTGCCAGCCCAAGTCCCTCCAGACTCTGGAGAGTAGGAATATGAACTCTGTTTTTTGTTTTTGTTTTTTTGTTTTTTTGAGACAGGGTCTCACTATGTAGTTGAGGCTGACCTGGAACTCACTATGTAGGCTAGGCTGGTCTCGAACTCAGAGATCCTCCTGCCTCAGCCTCCCAAGTGCTGGGATTATAGGCGTGAGTCACCATGCCCAGCAGCTCTTTATTTTATACAGTGTTGGTTTTCCCCTTGTTACTCACAGGTGAACTCTGTCATAATGACCTCCTGATTTTACCTTTCCACCCTATCATTGTGGGGGACCATCATAAACCTTCAACTGCCCCAGTGTATCAGTAGAGTCAAGTCTAGTCTTTACTGAGAATTTTTCTCTCCAGTTCTGTGCAAAGTAATTCAGGTCTGTTTTTTATACTGTTGCATGTATACGTGTTTGTTTCCCTTTATAAAATTGAAAGTGTGTCAATAACAAAATTGGATTTTGCTCATCATGAAATCTTCAGAACTCAAAAGAGTATCTGGCATGCAGAGGCTCAACAATTGAATGATCAATAATTCTCCTACAAAGTAAAAGCTGAGCCAGGCACAGGAGATGCTATGGAGGGGTGTTTTTCTTTCCCATATCAGTTCATGTAATCTCATCCAGTTGAATGGGGTATGTGTTATTTCAGGGATTGTTGTCATTCAAGGATGTGTCCATGGAGTTCTCCTGGGAAGAGTGGCAGCTACTTGACTCAACACAAAGGCACCTGTACAGGGAGGTGACCCTGGAAAACTACAGCAACCTGTTATCAGTGGGTAAGTGCTGTTTCCCTACCTACCTTAGTCTGAGTCATGAGTTGCCTTCTTTTCTTTCATTGACTTACCCTGGGTCCTCAAAAGTGTTTTATGGTTATTACCTGGACTTTAGAGCTCATATATTCTTGGTTCCCATGTGGCCCTGACCTCCTAGTTGTAATCTTTCTCTAAGTACAAATGATCAGTTTTCTTTTGTAGTTCTGAGCCCCTAGTCTCATCCATAGCAGCTTGGCCCATTTCCTTTGTAATTTTCTTTTCACAGGGTATCATGGTACTAAACCTGAATTAATCTTCAAGATGGAACAAGGAGAAGAGCCATGGATAATAAATGCCAAAATGTCCACTCCAAGCTGTGCAGGTGGGTGAGTGAGAACCAGGAGGATGAGAAATGTGGCGGTAAACTGGCTGCTCTTCAGGGCTTGGCACCATACAGTCTGTGCACAGAAGCTCTGGAAAGCTCTTGAGTGGGTGTGGCTGACACAGGATGAGGCCTGAGCTCCTTGAATACTGGGCTCTTCTTCCTCCCCTGGCTCTGAGAGGTGGGTGTGGTACTCTTCCCTGAACTCTGCTCAGAACCTGCTGTCTAGGTTAGTTTCCTTCCTTCCCAAGATGAGCAAGACCTTCCAAAGATTTCTTCTTCCTCTCATTGGTGTAGCTCATCCCCGCTTTACTTCCTTTATTTTGTTTTCTCCTATTGCTTCCACTGTTAAATTGTTTAGATCTAACCCACAGTCCCACATCTGGTGTATGTGCATCAAGGAGTGATTTTTGTGCACCTTTACTTCCCATTTGGGTTGTCCAAAGGGGTTTACTGTCCATACTCAGCCTGTAGAAACTTCTCCTGTGTTTTAAATATTGAAAGGCTCTGCCATTCTGAAGATTTAAACCTCCCTACTGTTTTAGCACCAAAAATGATATCCTCCTCTTCTGTTTCTTCTGAACTGGGTCTTGGCACCTGAAAGAGAGCTTTACTGTGCTTTCCAACACTTCATTCTGGCATGAGAAATGGGAAGAAACTTCCTTTCAGAGATATTGTTCTTCCCTAGTTTCCTCATTGTGTGTGTGTGTGGGGGGGGGTGTTGTTGAGGACTGGAACCCGGGGCTTCACATATGGTAGGCTAGCACTTCCCACTAAGCTACACCCCACTCCTCATTTTCCCATGAATGCTGCTGCTGTTGCATGTAGGCCTGTACACTCTGTGGCTTGCTTTGATATCCTGTCTATTTTTCTCTAATATTTCTACTGATTCTGTTTCGGTTAGTATTTTGTTTTTTCAAATCTGACACCTCTTGTCTACTCATGCTTGTTACCCATGCTTGATTGGTGTTTTCTCTATCTGTAGAGTGTAGATTCTTAAACATATTGGGGAGCTCTCATTTTGTCCTTAGCTGTTGTTGCAGGATGTTTCCAAAAGTCACAGATCCTCAAATTCCTGACCCAACGATAACAAAATAAGGAATTTGTATGCTCAAATGATGGTTACATTCCTTGGAGTATATTCTGCAGTATCTTCTTTCCAGTTGTACAACTTGAGAGATGCCTGTGTTCCTGTGAGGTATGATCACCTCTTCCCAAAAGGGAGCAGAGCATGTTGTCATTGTGGACCAGAATCCAGTTTCAAGGCCTGCTATATGTGTGGTACTGTCCAGCAGGGTTAGATGAAGGCCTTATGATCTGAGTCAAATAGTATGTTTCAGATATGCCTAGTGTTGGAGAAGGAACTAGGAAATTATAAGAGACACACCTCTTTCCAGAAGGGAAGAAAACTACTGTTAGCTCATTGCATGCTTCTTCAGAAAAAGATCAGGGAAGGCCATTGGCCCTCACCCTGGTGTAGTTTCCTTGGCTGGCCAATTTGATAGCATTTGACACTTTGTTTGGAGATTTCCTTTCTGTCATCTGTGGCTTAAGCTGAGATGAACTTTGAGAGAGCACCTGTGTCATGGGCTACTTTAGTTTAGCAGCAGGTCACTCCTGTGGCAGTAAAGTTTTTTCTTGTTTGTTTGTTTTGGGTTTTTTGTTTGTTTGTTTGCTTTTGAGACAGTCTTGCTATGCAGTTCAAGCTTGCCTTGAACTTACTATATAGCCCAGACTGGCCTTAAACTTGTGACAGTCCTCTTACCACAGCTTCCTGAGAGCTATGATTACAGACATTCACTACCATGTCTGGATTGAGTTTGAGAGTTGAAGACAGGGCTGGGGATGTACCTCTGTGGCGGAGTGCTACCAACTGTAGGGCAGCAAACACGGGATTTCACGAGGAGATACAGGTTCTCTGAAAGGTGGGAGCAGGTTCGGCGATGACAGTCAGACAAAAGCACTCAACACCGAGGTGAAGTTTGCAAATGCTGCTGCAAAATTTATTTTTCAAAGAGCTTCCTTTATACAGATTTCTATTTCCTTATAGCAAGTCAGGGGCAATGAGCTGATCTCTCTAGGCATCTATTTCCGCTTGCTGAGTTGGCGCCTGCCAAATACATCATTATAGAATACATTGTGAAAAGTTAGCAGGAGTTTAAGCTTTCTTTCCATCTTAGCTGATAATATGCCAGTGGCCATTTTTTCCCCAATGAATCATTGTTTCTCAGATGTTTGACAATATGTGGTAATTCTGATGAAGTATCAGTAACGTCTGTAACATTACATGCTATTTTCCTGAGAACTATTTCCTTAAAAGAAATATTCCCCTCAAATGCACCTTCTGTTCAGTTATTATTTGACTGAGAAGGCTGTGTCCAAACAGTGACATTCTTATCCTCCATATCTTTGGGTACATCTAATCCTTCTCCTTCTTGAAAACCACTAGGCATTTTCAAAAAACACAAACACACAGAGATCAATAGAAAATAAATCAAAATTGTAACAGAACCCATTGTCCCCAAGCTGCAGGCGAAGAAACCAACGATTCCTTCTTTGGCTGACTTTTAATGCGGTGCATGCCGGTTTCTGCCAGGTGGTTGGCATTGTCACGCAGATTCCACTGGAGTGGTCGTGGCAGCGGAGCACTTGCTTAACATGCCTCGCCCCTTGGTGTGATCTCCATTACCACACACACACACACACACACACACACACACACACACACGTGCACGCGCACACATGCATTGAAGAGTCACAGATTCATGAGACCAGACTTGGGGTTTCCTTCCAAGCCTAACAGGCTTGCAGTCTTTGTTTTGTGGGGTTTGCTTTGTTTTTGTTTTCTAATCAATTCTGTTAGGCCAGCAATACAACCAAGAGTTATCCAAATATGGTCTTTAAGCCCAAGAATCCTTTCTTCTGGTTGCTAATCTTACTCTCATCTCTCATGTGTGAGTCTTCACTTTCAGCGACCATAACCTGAACTTTCTCATTACTGTTGGGATGAGGTGGTTTAGAAGGCACAGAAGAAGTAGGGAAGCTCCTAAAGGCTGACATTGTGATGTTTTATTTTATTTTATGTATTTTGTACTGGGGATTGAACCAAGGGCCTTTGCACTGATCTACATCCCTCACCCATGTTTTTATTTTTTGGGACAGGGTCTTACTAAGTCACTAAAGTGCCCAACATGGTCTCCAACACATGATCCTCCTGCCTCATGAACCCCATGTTTTTTGTTTTTTTGTTTTAAGTTCCCATGTTCTTGACTATAACTACCAAATATTCACCAGGCCCCTGCTCCTTCCTGTCTTCCCTTTGCCCCTGTTTACCATTAGAGTCAGCATGGGAGCACTCTTTGGCCCCAAAGATGGATGTCACTGGTCCTGAAGCACATATTCCTTGGGTGGTCTTATCCTTCCTTCCTTTAATGCTTTTACTTTTGACCCTGTCTTTCATTGAGAGCTGAATTCGTGTCTGAGTGCTTACGTGCTACTGGCATTTAGGTGTTCATTATCACACCATCCTTGGTGTTTCTCCAGCATGCTTCCTTTCCATCTTGCAGAGCAATCCGCCTCACCATTTTGTACTGTTAACACTGCCTTCTCTCATCTCCAGAAGTGTAGCCTAAGCCATTAACATTCTAAGCTGGGCTGTTACGAAGGCTTTCTATAATGCTTCTCTGTCATTTTGTCATTTATTTTTTACATAACAACCAAACAGATCTTTTAAAGAGAAATTCTGATTGGGATCTCCTCTCAGATAAAGTGATAACATTTAGATAAAGTGGAAATATTTTCCTATGGCCTTGCACAGTTTATTACTTCCCTATTCACTTCATGGATCTTCACTATCCCAGACCTTTATTGTTTCTTAAACCTTTCCAAGCAGCCCCCCTTGTTAGGAACTTTGAGCTTGGTGTTTCATCTGTTTGGATTGTTAACTTTCATATCTTACTCATTCTCTTTGTCTCCAGACCTACTTATTTGCCCTACTTATTCTGTGTCCTGTAATTCAGATATAAAATACGGAATTAACCTTTAATTATAGGGTAACATTTTAGATAACTTTTTTTATGGAGCTGGGGATTGACCCAGGGCCTTTGTACTGAGCTAGCCTCAGCCCTTTTGTAGTTTTTAAAATTTAGAGACAGGTCTCTCTAAGTTGCTAAATTGCCTGGGTTGTGGTAGAATTCACAATCCTGCCTCAGCCTCCCAGAGTGCTGGAATTATAGGTGTGAGCTACCATACCCAAGTTTAAAAACCCTTTAAAAAAACATTTTTTTTTTTTACTACCATTAATTCACTACCAATTTCACAAGGGGAGACCTAGTTTGGTTTGATTCAGAATCCCTTCCCTCTGGTTAGCCAGTATTTCATTTGAACTCATGTCATAGGCCTGTTACCCAAAACAAAAGAAAAAATTTATTTCTGCTTTTTTTTGGCAGGGGGTGGTAGTGGTGGGGTGGGTCCTGCGTATTGCAGCAAAGGGCCTCACATCTATGAGGCCAAGTGCTGTATCACTGAGGTAAAACCCCCTATGGGCATTTTGAAAGATCTTTAAATTCTATATCAATTTTAAAACTATGTTTGGTTTTCTTTTTTTTCTTTTTTTAACCTCCTAAAAGGTTGGCAAGAATGGTACCAGAAGAATAAAGATGAACTTGAAAGTGTTGAGAGAAGCTATGTATGTAGTGTGTTTGGAAAACTTCATCTAAGCAAAACCCATGTTCCTTCAGGACAAAAGCTGTATAAGTACAACACACATGGGAGAAGTTTGATGAAACACTCAGGTTTAAGCAGAAGTTATATAAGAAAGAATCCTGATAAATTTCGTGTTTATGAGGAATCATATTTTCTTACGCATCAGAGAGTTCATCACATAGAAAAAAACTGTGTGTGTAATGAATGTGGGAAAGCTTTTCGTTGTAAGTCACAGCTCATTGTCCATCTCAGAATCCATACTGGGGAGAGGCCTTATGAATGCAATAAATGTGAGAGAGCCTTCAGTGCCAAGTCAAACCTTAATGCCCACCAGAGAGTTCACACAGGTGAGAAGCCCTACTCGTGCAGTGAATGTGGGAAAGTCTTCTCTTTCAGGTCACAGCTCATCGTCCACCAGGAAGTCCACATTGGAGGGAAACCCTATGGGTGCAGTGAGTGCGGCAAGGCCTACAGTTGGAAATCTCAGCTCATCTTACACCAGAGAAGTCACACAGGAGTGAAGCCCTATGAGTGTGGTGAATGTGGGAAAGCCTTTAGCTTGAAGTCCCCATTTGTTGTACACCAGAGAACTCACACTGGAGTGAAACCACATAAGTGCAATGAGTGTGGAAAGGCCTTTAGGAGCAAGTCCTACCTCCTGGTTCACATCCGAATGCACACAGGAGAGAAGCCCTATCAGTGTGGGGACTGTGGGAAAGCTTTTAACATGAAGACACAGCTTGTGGTGCATCAGGGTGTCCACACAGGAAACAACCCTTATCAGTGCAGTGAGTGTGGGAAAGCCTTTGGCAGAAAGGAGCAGCTCACTGCTCACCTGCGAGCCCATGCAGGAGAGAAACCCTATGGGTGCAGTGAGTGTGGGAAGGCCTTCAGCAGCAAGTCCTACCTTGTTATTCACAGGAGGATACACACTGGGGAGAGGCCCTATGAATGCAGCTTGTGTGAACGAGCCTTCTGTGGGAAGTCACAGTTGATCATCCACCAGAGAACGCACTCGACAGAGAAGCCCTATGAGTGCAGCAAGTGTGAGAAGGCTTATCCAAGGAAGGCGTCCCTTCAGATTCACCAGAAAACCCACTCAGGAGAGAAACCTTTCAAGTGCAGTGAGTGTGGGAAAGCCTTCACTCAGAAGTCCTCCCTCAGTGAACACCAGAGAGTACACACGGGAGAGAAGCCATGGAAGTGCTCTGAGTGTGGGAAGGCTTTCTGCTGGAACTCAGGGCTTCGCATCCACCGGAAAACACATAAAGGTGAGATGCAAGTGATGAAGTGAGTATTGGAAGCCTTCTCACAGAAGCGGACATCCCAGAGACCCGTGTGGTTGTACAGAGTAATAGGCAGGATATGCTAAAGATAGACTCACACAGTGTAAGTCAGGTGGAGAGAGCAGTCTTTTGGGATGAATGTGTGAACACTGTCGGTGCCAGTCACACAAACCTTTGCAGACAGGAGAATGACAGGAATGAGAAGTGAATACGCCAAGCATAGGTGTCAGTATGAAGATCTGGGATGTTCATACTGAGGTTTATTAAATCAGCGAAGCATTTCCCATAGAAAGGTGTGTTTCATGGAAAGCTACATTCTAGATTTGAAGCTACGTTTTTTTATGAAATAGTGTAAAAATCTTAGATAAGAACAGTTGACTTTTCCATGATGTATAAGGTTTTTCATTTTGTTTTAATATGTAAATAAAACCACAAGGAACTTATTCTGAAAATGAAGGTATTGTGTGACTTTTGCTATTTCACACTGAGTAACATTTTTTTAAGATTTTGGTATTTTCTTTTTTAATGTAAATTGTTACATATATATATTTGACTGTTTATGACATAACATCCCCCAATATTCTCCATATTAAATGCTAAATATTGACATTTTCTCTTTTATTTTCTAGCAGTGTGACTGAAATAGTGTAGCTTGTATGGAAGTATACAGTTCTCCATATACATTAATTTAGTTGTCTGGAAAATAGGACAGGGCTGCTTCTTAACAGAGTGCATTGTAATGAATGGTAAGCAGGTAGTTATCTGTTCTTCATTGATATCCAGAAGCTCCCTTGTGTTCTCTTGAGAAATACCTCCTCTGATTTATACTTGCTTTTGCTAGTGTCTTTCAGATTTCATTTCTGCTAGCTACAGGCAAGCATTATACCTATTGTTGGGTAATGGTACCCTCTTTTCTGGTATTTTGAATCTATAATTCAATCTCACATGAAGCAGGGAAAAATGTGGGAACTCATTTGATTTTGTCCCAGAATGCAATTGAGACCATCAATTAATTCTGGTAAACAGGTTCCAAGAATGACTTTTAATACTACAATATTCCATCTTAGAAGTTGGTTCTTAGGCCTTCGGCATGCATGCTTTCTTACATCTATATTTTCAATAACAATGTAGGTTTTTTTTTTTTTGGTACCGGGGATCGAACTTAGGACCTTGCGCTCCCAAGGCAGGCAGTGGCACCACTGAGCTAAATCCCCAGCCCCCAAAAATGTAGGGTTTTATTAAGAGAAGTAAGTTTTTATTACTTACAACTTAAGGGCTTTTAGAGAAAAGTAACAAATAGTTTGTTTTCCTTACAAAAGAAGAAAATTAGATTCCTGTTTATATCTCAAGGTGGCAACTTTTTAGCCTATCAGGAGAAATAGTGTTACTGTTTGTGTACTTCTAGAAGGGCTGCTGGCAAGATTCTGAGAACAGGGAAGTACTGCCATAGGTGATTTATATTTTATTATATTGATTGATTGATTGGTACCAGGGATCAAACTCAGGACCTTGTGCTTGGGAAGCACTGAGCTAAATCCCCAGCCAAGGTGAATTTTAAATGTACCAGGAGATCTGGGACAAGAGATGATTGCTTTTGGTCATTCCAGATCTCAGACAACAAGAAAAACAGCCTTGAAGTCCTCATAGCTGCCCTCAGTTCAGCAACTTTTGTGGTTCTGCTGAAATACTTTCAGATGTAGGGCTGCAGGGTAGTCATTAAATAGTACATTTGGTTTGCTGAATTAAAAAGTCAATCCACAAATTAAATTCAGACCATTTCAAATGTTCACTAAGCCCTTTTGGAAATGTGCTTTGCAAAAGTTCTCCCTGGATAATTTGAAGAGGAATCTAGAGGAAATTTGAGACGTGTGTGTGTGTGTGTGTGTGTGTGTGTGTGTGTGTGTGTATTAGTATCAGGGATAGAACTCAGGACCTTGCACTTGCAAGGTAGGCAGTGGTACTACTGAGCTAAATCCCTGGCCCGACTCAGATATATTTTGAACTATTTGTTCTTAAGGATATACACCAGATGTTGGCATTATTTGAAATTCAGTTTGTGTCCATAAATCAGAACACAGCCAAATAAGTCTGCATTATTTATCTTTCTTTGAACTGCACTGGCAGAGTTGAGTAGTGTTGGCAGATACCATGTGGCCGGCAAAACCTGCAAACTCCATCACCTTTTGCTTCCCTGAAGAAGGAAAACTGCCTTGCAGGAGATCTGCATCTGCCTGGACTCTGTGCCTCATTGATATCATCATGTAGCCACAGCCCACACTAAAAATGCTCAGGGATGGGATTGTTGATTTTGGTTAGAATACAGAAATCCCATAACATAGCAGGGTTTAAAAATACCTCAAAGCTTACAGGAAATCCTTGTGAAAATATTTTTTCAGAGCAGCTACTTACGAGTCCCTGTATACATAGTGTGCTAGTACACAGAAAAGGATTTTAAAGATTTAGCAGCACTGACGAATACAGACCAGATGTACCCTTGCCTATGACACAGGAAGAAAGAAATGCAAAACTACACAATGTAGGGTTGGGTTTGAACATATTAGATTGGATCTATTAGACAGTCCCAAGGCTTGAAAACCTTCTCATTCTTTACCAGGAACTAGAGCAGTTTGTTACTGTGTAAGTAACTGCCCTTCGTAGGATGGGGATGTGTGTCTGTAATCCAGATCTGTTGTCACCTGTGACTGGAAGGCCACTGCTGTGTCAGAAGACTGGCAGTAGCCTTTAAAAATGGGACCAGGTTGGTTTGGTTAGTATAGGGAGGAAGGGTTGGTAAGGTGAATGGGTCTCCAGTTATAGTAGTGAATTATGTACTCTTTAAGAATGGAATTCATCTTTCTGCCATCTTTCTGTGGCAGAATAATGGTTCACATGAAAGTCCTGGCTGATATCCTCAAAAGTGTAAGGCAAATGCCAGGTCAGGTCCTTACTTTGGTGTGCTCCAAAGTCATCTGGTTTCTTAACTGTGATGATGAAGCGTGGTTACATTGTTGAATTTGAAATCAGTGATGACCAGAGCTGGAAAAATTGTGAACCTCATGTGCAGGTTGAACAAGTGCCCAGATTTGATGTGCAGCTGAAAGACCTGGAAAAACGGCAAAATCTGCTCCCATCCTGTCAGTTTGATTTCATTGTTGACAACTTCAGCTGGCATCGTGGACCACAAAGAATCAAGAAGAAATACACAGGAGGAAAAATCATATGATTCTTTGTCTATGGATGTGAAGTATGTATACAAATAAAATGCCTCAATGGATTAAAAAATGGAATTCAGAGGCAGAGTATGGCATACCTGTAATCCCAGCATGTGAGAGACTGAGGCATGAGAATCTCAAATTGTGTGCCAGCCAGTATTAGGTAAGTGAGACCAACTGTGGGGGCATAGAGGATGAAACATGACTGAGAGATGAGACTTAGTTTATCCACTGAGAAACCAAGAGAGGCTGCTTATGCTTATCAGAGCATCAGGAAAACAGCAGCACTCTTGAGTAGTTATTTACAACTCAAGGACATGAGGACAAAGTAGAAAAAACATTTCTGCAGGAGTTTTGGACCAAGGGACAGGGAGGGAGAAGGATGGGTTGCTACATGACATATGGCCATCTAGTCTAGGCAGGCATTTTGGAGGCTGTGGGAACACCGGTGAAAGCCAACATTTCTGAAAAAAAATTTGAAATTCTGTTTTCCTCACAGATCTGCTTTAAATTTAACCCATGCATTCCAGGAGTCCTGAACTGTTGTCCAAAAAGTCCCTTCCTCTTTCACATTCATTCACTTCTTTGGCCAGGGTGTGGAGGACAAACAAACAAAAAACAGCTTCTTAAAAGTTTTGTTTGTATTGTGAAACCAAAAAATTTGATACAACATGCACCTTGGGAGAATGGCCCCCAGCGTAGTTTGCATACTTGAACTAGCCATGGATATATGGTGTTGAAGACAGGGTGTCTTTTCTGCCACCATTAAGGTGCTATTTAAGAATGCTGTTCTGTTTAAAGGCTGTGGGCACTGGCTTTTATCTCATAGCTTATGCCTCTGTGATCTGATGGACTAAGTGGAGTTAGGAGCAAGCAGCTTAAGTACTGGGTTTGAATCCAGGGCCCCTCTACCACTGACCTACTTTCCCAGCCCCTATATATATTATTACAGGCACTTTGGAGGCTGAGGCAGGAGGACTGCAGGTTTAAGGCCAGCCTGGGCATCTTATTGAGACTCTGTCTACAAATAAGGGCTGAAGATGCAGCTCAATGACAGAGTGCCACTGCATTCAACCCCTAGTACCACAGAAAAAACAAAAGCCCAAACAACTAGCTAATCCCCATGAGATTAGACCTATAGAATCAAAATAGCCAGACGGAAAGTTAGAATTGGAAGATAATTATTTCAACTACTTAAAACACCTCATAAAATATTTCATAGAATACGATGACTGCAGATATGGTGGGAAAACAGTCAAGTAGAATGATGATGGGCTGATGATTTAGCTCAGTGGCACTGCCTGCCTTGCAGGCATAATGTCCTGAGTTTGATCCCTGGTACCAGAAAAAAAAAAAAAAGTACGATGACATATGGAAATGATTTTTTGGTTGGTTAGGATACCCGTCATCTGTTACCTTTTCTTCATTTTTTTTCCCCTGGTACTGGGGATTGAACTCCAGGACCTTGCCCTTTCAAGGCAGATGTGGTGCTACTGAGCTAAATCCCTGGCCCTGTTACCTTTTCCTCTTACATCATACTGTTTTAACTTTGGATATATTTTTATTGTATACCACATGCAGATGTGTGAGATACAGAAGCCAGAAAAAGAGGAAAATGAAGAACCAAACCACGATGATCCAGGGATTTCCCTTTTCCCCTCCTTCTCTTCCCTCTCTTTCTCTCTCCTCCCTCCCTCTCTCCTCACTCTTCTCTGCCCTCTCCCCTTTCTCCTTTACTACTCCATGTACGTCTCTCCCAAGGCTGCATGCTTCAAGAGGACGACCACCCCCAAAAGAGGACAGTCTCCTCGGTCAAGCGTATGAGTAGCTGCGCTCCCTTGCTAGCACCTACAAGCTCTCAAGAATACTAAGTTTGTGGTCGGAGAGCTCAAGGCGAAGAAAAATCTTATGTCCAAGAGATTTATTAGAGAATAACTTTTGCCTAATGGTGAAGGTTGTACATGAATAAAAATCTGAGCTAGTCCAGCAGTTGGGAGGCAGAGGCAGGAGGATCACCTTGAGTTCAGGGCCAACCTGGGATACATAGTGAGTTCAAAGCGAGCTTGGTCTTAAAAAATAAAAAAAGCCCTTTTCTCCCCCGGTACTGGGATGGAGATCTGGGAAGCTCTATCGCTGTGCTATACGCTCTGGACACCTCCCCCCTCCCCATTTTGTAATTTTGAGACAGGTTTTTCTAAATTGCCCAGGATGGCCTCGAACTTGCCTCAGCCTCCCAGAGCGCTGAGATTACAAGAGTGTGCCCACAGTGCCCAGGAGCCAGTTTAAAAAAATAGTTATACAATTTGCACGAAAGAGGGCAAACACTACAAAATAAAATATCAATGGATTTTCCTTCAATTTCCTATGTCTGTGGCCCATCTCCCTCTCCTCTTTCATAGGGGTGGTTACTTAGCTATAAATTTCCCCCACAGCAGTTGAGTTTTATATCCGTTTTGCTTTTTCCTGCTTATAAGCCGATCACTGCTGTGCACAAAAGCCTTAGCCTTAAGCCGTCCTCGGCGGATTTATACCCAGCGGGACTGCGTCGGCTGCCGCCCCCCCACCCCACGCACCGGCTCGGGACGTCAGCGTGTGGCGTCATCGGGATGCGAGGCCTCTGAGAAAGCCGGGAGTGGTAGTTCCTCGGCACCTCCCTCCCTTTGCTCGGGCGCTGGCGCTGGCGCTCGCGCACGCGGCATCTCGCTCTTTGTCTTCCACCGGACGGGTGAGCGCTCCCGGACCCGGTGAGAGCCGGGTGTCGTAGGGCGCGTCCGGCCGTTTCCGAGCGGCCTGTCGTTTGGCGGGCGGGCTCCTCACGGTTTGCGGCGAGGTGCTGACAGAGGCAGGATTGACGGTCGGGGCGGCCCCTTCGGGCGAACCGGGCTCGGTGTTTTCCTGATTCCGCGGGCCACGCCACTCCCTCCTGCTGTCATCTGGGTCTGTGACTACAGAACTAATAATAAACGTGTCATCCTTTTTCATCTAAAAATGAAAACATTTTGATGTTATTAAAATGTGGTTTATTTCATGTTACTTATTTTCTTCGTTTCGACTACTTGGCGTTGATCTGAAACTGCACTTCTGTCCTGCCCCCCCACTCCCGCGCTCCCTTAGGTTAGGACTAAATCATTTAAAGACTAGAATGTATTCTGTTGCCTATTAGGACATTTAAAATATGTGCTTAGTATGCAGCACCTTGCTGAACAGGTTAAAATAGACGTCACTTACGATGCAGTGAGAGGTCGCACAGCATTTGGTAATTTTCTAAACCTTCGTGTGCTTTTAAATGAATCTTACCTTTTCATACGTCCTTTTAAAATTTAGGAGTATGCTGCTTACATTCATTACATTGTATCGTTAGTGTCTTTCCTTAAAGTGAAACATTTTTGTTCCTAGGAGTTTAAACTCACCTGAAGACTTTTTTCACCTCCTCCCTGCTAATTTATCTTTCTCTTCTGGGTTTATTCTTAGCCTATCCTGGAGGCATCAGTTTTGGAAGGGGACTGTGTTGCCCCTGTACTGGGAATGTGAACAGGGAAACTGAAAGCCTTTGTATACTCCAGACTTTAGTATTGTGGTCACCGGAGGGTGGACATTGTAAGTCCAGGAGCCCAGGTGTGACACTTCCTGACTTTGTTACATATGTTGGGAAGTGGCTCAACTTACTATGTTTTACTGCTCTTCTATGCTGGGTGTTGGAGTGTTAAAAAAGGACAACCCAGTACAGTGGTGTGCATCTATAAATCTCAGCACTGAGTGTGGTTTGAGTCCTACCTGGGCAATTTAATAAGTCCTTGTATTAAAATAAAAAATAAAAGAGTTGTAGATGAAGCTCAGTGGTAGTGCACCCCTAGATTTGATCCCCACTACAACCCCCGCAATGTAGTGTATTAAAATCTGACATCTACTAAGCAAATAAGTTTTTATTTTCTATTTTTCTGTAACATTCTCTTAGGACCTAAAGATGAGTTGAACTTTGGGATGATAGTGGAAGTTGTCCCTTCTGCTGAAGCTAAGTTGGAGAACTACTGAGAGAGCTGCAGTGTTGTACAGAAAACTGCCAAGGTAAACAAACACAATGAAATTAAAATGGGCCAGGTTTTATGGTGAGGGTTTAGGCTTCTGTTTGCTGTGAGGTCATGTGAGGCTGAGTAGAAGCCAGTCCAAGGGCATTTACTTCGGGGCGGGGGCAGCTACCAGAAACATTTCTTAGAGTCTGTGTTGTTCATAGTAACAACCTTAAATATCAAAAATATTGTACAATTATGCTGATTGTTTATCATATTGCTTTCACCTGAAATTCTCAACCTTTGGTATTCTGTGTGGTAAGTCTCCCTTGTTTCCATATATATCTTCTTGACAAGTTCTCACTGAAACTTAATATCATTAGGTAGTTGTTTTTGTTTTTGAGATGGGAATCTCAAAAGGAATGTATCATCATGCCCAGGTAAACACCAAGAAGACTATAAAATAATTTTTAAAATAACATTGCTAATTTGGAATACATTTGCTGGAATACATATTTTGAATGCCAATGTTTTATTGTTTATAGTATTATGCTTTTTCTTATGTGAAGTGAAATGAACAGATAATAAAAATGGAGTGACATTTGTAAGTACTTTTTTTGGTCTTTTGTAAGTGATTTATTTGTATGTATGTATATGCTTGTTTCTGTTGTTTTTCTTTTTTGTGGTAGTTGGTATAAAACCCAGGGAATACTGAGTTACATTCCCAGACTTTTTGAGGCTAAGCTGCCCACAGGCTGGGCGTGGTAGTGTGTACCTGTGTTTCCAGCACTTGGGAGACTGAGGCAGGAGGACTGCCTCACGTTTGAGGCCAACCTGGGTTACAAAGTGAGTCAAAGTTCAACCTGAACTACATAGTGAGCTCCTGTCTCCAGAAAACTGAGAAAAACAAAAACAAAAACACAATATCTGCCCTGGACTTGTAATCTTCTCGCCTGAGCATCCTGAGCAGGTATGCACCCATGTGCCTGCCTGTTTTCTACCTTTTTACTGTTCTATACAAGAAAGCTATTGAGCGATGGATGTAGCTCAGTAGTAGAGTGCTTGCCTAGTGTGTGCAAAGCCCAGGGTTTACCCTTAGCACTACAAAAAAGAAAGAAAAAGTGTTGATTCTCTAGACATGTTTACTGACCTAGACTTTTTTCCTTTTCCCTTTCCTTCCTCTCTCTCTTCCTCCCTCTTTCATTCATTTATTCATTCATTCATTCATTTTTGAAGTACGGGAGATTGAACTCAGGTCTTTTTCATTGGATTACATCTCTAGCACACACCACCCCCTCCTCCATTTAAATTTTTGAGATCAAGGTCTCACTAAGTTGCTAAGTTGCCAAGGCTGGGCTTCACCTTGGATCCTCCTGCCTCAGCCTCCCAGAGTGCCAAGCTTGCAGGTGTATTCTACCATGCCCAACAAAGAGATTTTAAAAATATATATATTTATCTTAGGGAAAAAAATGAAAACAGCTTTTAAATGTGACTGTTATGGCTTGTATCTTGATGTCCCCCTAGAGCCTGAAGTGGTCATATGCTGAAGACTCCTGCAGTCAGATTCCAGTCCCCACCAGCCCAGTGTGTGATGCAGGCCTGACAAATACACTAAGAGACAGAACGAGGAGAGAAAGCAGGGTGCCAGGATGACCAATGCCAGTGCAACCAACATTGCTAGAGATGTAGTTCATTGAGAAAGTCTCAGGAACTCACTTTTATTGGCAATCAACTGGGGTAAAGGGGACGTGCTTTCTATGGAAATTAAATAAGGCTCATAGAGGACAAGACAAAGCATTCCCAAATTAGGAACAGAATAGACAAAATATATGGTTGTAATAAGAACGTTGTCCTTCTAGACTGAAGGTTTCAGTTATGAGAATGGAATTTGGGCTAGACTCACTTCTGTAAACAAGCCAATTGTGGCACTCACTCTTCACAGCCTGTTTTGGGCATCATCAGTATTACAGTCCTCTGCAATCATAGGTAGGGTTTTTCAGAGGTTGCTGGATCTAGAATGTGTGACGCTGGGATCTGAGGTGTGTGATTATTGAATTAGTCCACTGATTGGTTTGACACAGTCCTGGATAAGATTAAGGGTGCCCTACCCCAGGTGTAAGTGCTACCTTCCTTAAGAGCTAGTTGCCTGGATGAAGTGTAAGGGACAGACGGGGTTGCTGTTTGTCTCTTGCTGCTTGCTGCTTTTGTTGCCTCCTGCCTGCCATGGACTATTTCCCCTTTGGTTTTTTTGAGACAGGGTCTCACTTTGTGGTTGAGACTGACCTGGAACTCACTATGTAGCCCAGGCTGGTCTTGAACTCACAGCAATCCTCCTGCCTCAGCCTCCTGAGTGCTGAGATTACAGACATGCGCCACTGCCCGGCCTATTTCCCCTTTGTGATGTCCCTCTACCCCTGTCATTGAGCCAGCTGACTATGGACTGAAACTTCTATAGACTGTGAGCCGAAATAAACCTTTCCTTCTTTAATTTAGGGCATTGTGTATTTTGTCTGTAAAATATGAAAAATAAGACAGTGACCATATGTTTCTGGCTTCTATCTTGTGTTTTTTTTCCCCCCTTCCTGGTTGTAGGTATTGAACCCATCTTCACACCAAGCTACATCTCTTTTCATTTTGAGACAGTATCTTGCTAAGTCACTAAGTTGCCCAGGTTGGGTAGTACTTTCAGTCCTCCTGGCTCAGCTCGAGTTCTAGGATTTCAGTGTGCAGGACTGAGCCCATTTACCTTGTCAGAATAGCTTCCAGCATCTGTAAAGAGTTATCTTAAGGTGGTTAGATATGGGTGAGGTGGTGAGATCAGCAGTAATACTTATTTACCCTGTATACATTTGAAAATGTTATAAGTAGTTTTGTAATTATTACTTCTACTAGTTAAATGATGCCTATGCTACCAGGTTTTCTAAAGCGCAAGTTAGGCTATAAAAAAAGTATATAATTGGGAGAAACCTTGTTGTGCATTTTTGAGGTAGCACTGAAGTTTGAAGTTTGAAACACAAAAAGGCATGTAAGGCAAGAACTTGGTTAAGTGCTGATCTTTTATGATGATAAAGGAATTAGACAGGCTGATCTTTGTTTTTGTGGAATAACTGACAGTGTGTGGAAATGAGAGCTAATTTCAGAATTTGTGTTGTGTGTGATGTGTATGTGTATTGTTACGGAAGGAATCAGTAAGTGACACACAGAGAGGCAGCAGAATGGAAGCAAAATAATAAATTTACTTATCGATAAGCATCGATCGCACATAAGCCATGCCTGGATCAATGACACACTGGGTTACAACTCCTCCTTTTATAGGATTTTACAGCCTTGACTTCATTTGGGTGGTTACATTTCATTCTCACAGTTCAAATCATGGTTACAGAATAGTTAATCTTTTCAACCCAGATGTAACAGTTCTATGCAGTTGGGGAGTTTACCTTTAAGATTCGCCTAGTTTATCTATTCTAGTCCGTAGGAAAGGGGGTGCTCAGGGTCAGGGGAGAAAATGCTAGCAATGGGTTCTTTCATTTAGACACTTTTATGATCATGTGGCTCCAGTCTCATTGGAGCTGAAGACCTTGATGTGTCCTGTTTTCTCAAGGTAAGACCAAATGCCTCATTCAGCAATTAGTGTCTTCAGTGCCTATTAGTTTTGAGCTAAGCAAACAAACTGCTGTTAGAGACAGCAGAAGTCACTTTACTTTATAACACTTTATAGGTTTTTGTTATTTAAAAAAATTTTTCCTATCAGTATGTGTATGTGTATGTATATAATATACACACAAACACACACACACACACACACAAATGATGTTACAGTGGTCTTAGTTACAGATACCTTGCACATAGCAGGAAGAGAAATAACAGTTCTGCTGCTTAATAGCTGTGTGATCATGGGTACACTAAATCACTTAAGTCTTCATTGTCTCTTGTAAAATGGATATTTGTTAAATTTCTTGTGATGTCTGTGATGATGAAAGTACTTGGTATGTTATCTAATGTATACAATACTCACATTTTAACTGTTACAATTGTTATAGGGCAATAGTCACCTTACTGTAGCTCTCTCATTTTCCTCTCCAAATCCTACTCTGAGGTCTACTTTATTATCCTCACTGTTTTAGCAAGTAAATAGAAGCTCGGAAGGTAAGAGAAGAAGAAAAAAGAATAGTAAATGTTGTCATAACCACAAAAATTATGACTGTATTTAATTTGTCAGGCAAGACAGATTATTACTTTGGATTAGAAACAAATTTGAGCTCTGAGCTGCTTCTAAGAAGAAAATATAATTAAGCTGAAATTTTAAGTGTGGTTGTATGGTGGATGATACTAGCAAATACTAGGCCAAAAGGATGCTTATGTTGCCAACTTCATCCAAGGTGAAGTAGATTTAAGGTAGAAAGCATTTGAGGTATGGAGTGTCATTACACAAAGATGAAAGAAATAATCCTCCAGTAACATAGCCTGAAGTATGTAGTCCGTATATTCATAGAAGAGCTGACCAAGTATAATCCTATATGAGATTCAGTTCATTATCCTTTAGAAATTGATAAAATTGGCAGACAAACATAGGAAGGATATAGATTTTAATAAGAAACTTAGGTTCGGAAAAGTGAAGTTCATTTGTTTTTGCCAAAAACTACATAACCAAAGCTAGGTAATGTTCAGTATGCCTTTAATTCCAGCACTGGGAGGCTGAGGGAGGCAGATGACAAGAATGAGCCCAGTCTGGGAAACTTAGCAAGACTCTCTCCAAAAAAAGGCCAGCGATGTAATCCAGTGTGAAGGGCCTACATCTAATGTATTGTTTGCCTCTTCAATCTACATGTCAGTATGAATAAAAAAAAATCACATAGCCAATAAAGGAAAAAAGTTGAAACGCAAATCTGTTTTAAATCAAATTGCATAAGCTTTGAAAAAATTCAATCAGGTTAAAATAGAGTTGTCTTTTTTACATAACACCTGTTAAAGTGATTTGCATTTCAGAGCCCACCATAAATTTGGAATAAATTACAGAATTACTTGTGATAATTCTTTCTCTCTTTGCAGATAGGGACTTGGGTTGTACTTCAGTGCATCTTGCTTCTATTCCTGAGAGACCTGTTTTATTTATGTAGTGAACACACCTTGGCTTTAGATGATCATAAATTCCTAGGTTCTGGCAAGGTAGGAAAAGGTTTGAGGTATGACCTGAACCACCAGTTGAAGGTATTTATCCTACACCCACAGATCTGGGTTCTGTCATTTAAGCCTGCTTAGATGAGAACAGTGTTCCTGGGACCAAAAATTCATCCACATTAGAGAAGACCTACCAGACATAGAATACAACACGTCTCACACTTGCTAATCATCGTGTGCAGGGAACAGAGAATGACCATGTTACAGGTAAGCTGATTATTCCTCCTCATTTTTCCAGAGGGTTAGTAGAGATAAGAAAGTGTTCCAGTGAAAAAGAAAAGTATGAATGGTTAAGAAATCAGGGGAAATAACCTCAGAATAGAAGGTCAGGATTTGGGTAAAATTGGAGCAGTGACATATTAATTATAGGACCTTGGAAAGTTCTTAAACTTTGACTACTACATGTAAACCATAGTATCCGGCATGATTATTGCATTTGAGCTGCAAACTTATTTTTCACATTTTTGAAAGAAATATGAATGTTTAAGTTGCACAATTCAAAGGAAGAAAAAACAAATTGCCCATAGGAAGTAAATATTTCTTGGTATTAGGTACTCCTTTTTTTTCCTTTAAGGAAGTCTAAATAAATGGTATCATGGGTTAGGTTCACAAGAGAAACACTGAACTGTGTGCATGTTTTATGTTTTTGCAATGTCCATGACTGAACTCAGGACTTGCACATGCTAGGCAGGCCCTCTACCACTGAGAGAAAATTGTAGCCTGTGATCTGAAGGTAGAATGCCACAGCAGGACTTTTTTCTTTTCTTTTTTTTTTTTTTTTTTTTTTTTTTTTTTTTTTGAGATAAGGTCTCACTATGTTGCCAAACTTTTCTCTAAAATCATAGGCTCACACGATCCCTATTTCAGCCTCTGAAGTAACTGGGACTACAGCCATAGGCTACCATACCCACCGTTATCTTTTTTATCTTCTGATTTTTGACTTTGTTAATTCATTCCTTTTCATGCTTTTATAGTTCTTCCTTATTCCTTATGATATCTAATCTTTCTATGTAGAAAAATCTGAGCCAGTTTTTTAATAACCCTGAATTGGACTTTGCTGTTGTTTTTTTTTTTTTTTGAGACAGGGTCTCACTATGTAGTTCAGCCTGGCCTTGAACTCAATGTATCCAAGTCCAGCCTTGAACTCATGACAATCCTGCCTCAGCCTCCTGAGTGATGGGATTACAGGCATATGCTACCATGCCTGGCCTACTGTTATAATTCCTTTGAAGTACTTTCCTCCATTTGCAGGTGTTGAGTTTTATCTGGTGCTTTATCTGTATCAGGTTGAGATGATCATGTTTTTCTCAATCTATTAATTTGTTGATAAGAGATTGTTTTTCTCTTCAATTTGAATTGATATTTTAACTATTTAACTAACCTTGAATTCCTGGGGAAAAAAACTCCAACTTAATTTTATTTATTTTCTTTATATATTGCTCAGTGCAGTTTGCAGTTTCACATTAAGGTTTATGTGTAAGTTGGCTGTTCCTTTTCCTTTTTCATAATAAACTTAGTGGGTTTTGGTATTGAGGTTATACTGGCATCAAAAAGCCTATTGGGGGCTGGGGATTTAGTTTAGTGGTGCCACTGCCTGCCTCACAAACACAAAGTCCTAAGTTTGATCCCCAGTACCAAAAAACAGCTTACGGGAAGAAAGCCTGGGATTTAGCTCAGGCAAGTGCAAGGTCCTGAATTCAATCCCTGGTACCAGAGGAAGAGAAAAAGCTTATGGAAATTAGGCATAGTGGTGCACCCCTGTAATCTCAGCCCTCAGAAGGCTGAGAAGGATCACTGTGAGTTTGAGGTCAGTCTGGGCTTCATAGTGAGTTCAAGTCTAGCCTGCACTATACAGTGAGACCCTGTTTCAAAAAACAAACAAATAAGCTTATGGGCAAGTTATTGTGGTTTTCGTAAGAGTTTGTTAAAATTAGTATTATTTCCATAGTAATATTTGCCAAATTAACTGGTAATACTGTTTTTTGCATATGTATGAGAAGATTTTCACTCAAGGAACCAGTATTTTCCAGGTAACTATTACATGATGTTAAAAAATAATAATGGGTGGGGCTGTTGATTTAGCTCATTGGTACTGGTGGCTGCCTCACAAACACAGGGGCCTGAGTTTGATCCCTGGTACCAAAGAAACAAACAAACAAAAATAATATTGGTTGAAAGATCATTAAAAAACAAGATAGGACAATGGATTTCATGAAGATTTATTCAACACATAGATCATAGATTTTAACATAATAGTATGAGAAATTTACTAATGAGGTTGAAGATTCTGTATTACAGCTCATCCTTAGGAGACTGCCTGTTCATTGGTTCTGGGTGACATCAAGGAAGAGTATCTGTTATGACAGGAGGATTGCAAGTTAAAGCCCAGCCTGGGCAATTTGCTAACTTGGCTAGGGAAGTAGATCTGTGCAAAGGCTCTGGGTTCAGTTCTCATTATCACAAAAAATACCTGTCCATTTTGGTTTGTGTGAATTGTATGAATGGAAAGGTGCATAGTGTCCTCTTACTGCTCAACACACACCTGAGGTAGAAACCTTGATGATTTATAGCTTGTGATGATGAGAGCACAGGCCTGTGCTCCAAGCTGTCTTTCTCAAGCATGCAGCGAGGATTGCTTCAGATTTACAAGAGCTGTGCTGTTGCAGGAGTTGTTCTCATTTGAAGATTTATCTGTGGACTTCACCCAGAAGGAATGGCAACTCCTGGGGCCACACCAGAAGAACTTGTACAGGGATGTCATGTTGGAAAACTACAGCAGCCTTGTGTCGCTGGGTAAGAAAGGTACCCATGAGTACCTTGCTGTGCCCAACAGTGTTGTTGCTTTTTGGTTTTGAGACAGGGTCTTGCTATGTAGTTCAGGCTGGCCTTGAGTCCATTGTGTAGTCCAGGTTGGCCTTGAACTTGCAGTAATCCTCCTGCTTCAGCCTCCTGAGTATTAAGATTACACGTTTCTTATTGAGTTGCTTACTGCTTTAGGATTGTGAAAAAAAACTTCTTTTCTGTTGTTTTTGAAACAGGATCTTGCTATGTAATTCAAGCTGGCCTTGAACTTGCTATATAGCCTAGGCTGGCCTTGAGCTTGTGGAAATCCTCCTGTCTCAGCCTCTCAATTGTTGAGATCATAGGTGTGTGCTACAACATTCGGTTAAGATTATGAAAATTTTAAATGAACTTGGGCTGAAATTTAGGAAATCAAAGTTCCTTAGGCTTGGACAGTTTCTTTATGCTTTCTGTTTTAAATACTTTGTGTATTTAGAGCCAGTAATTGTGATACATACCTATTATTTCAGCTCCTTGGGAGACTGAGGGAGGAGGATGAAAAATTCAAGGCCAGCCTAAGTGACCTTGTGAGGCTGACTCAAAAACAAAAAGGCTGGGGAAATTGCTCAGCAGTTAGGTCTTGCCTGCTGTGCTTGAGGCCCTCAATTTAGTCTCCAGTACCACACTAATAAAAGATTTTGGCTCTTGCTGTCCAGTAATGAAACCTTAGGCCCTTGGAAGTCTCTGAATCTATGTTTTAGAAGTAGAGGTAATGGTGGCATCTATCACATATGAATTATGGTGCACACATGCTGTACTATGAGCCTATGTAGTCTTCGGAGCAGTCCTGTATGGCAGGTACAATGACTATCCTTTTTTCTTGATAAGAAAATCAAGACAGAGAGGTGAAGTACCTTTCTCAGGACTGACAGCTAATGAGGGGGAGCCTGGAGTTGAACCTGGGAGCCTTGGCTGCAGAGCTCTGAGGTATTGGATGGTTTTAGGTTTAAATTATAGAAGTTAAAGACTTGAAGGTCTTGTTAGCCACCCGGGAGATCATTGCTCTGACTTTGAGTTATTTGTTCTATTGAGATCCAGCTTCATCTGGTAGACTTTGCAGCCAAGCCTTGCTCTTTCTCCAGGGGCCCTAAAGCCCATGCATTCAGATCCACAGCCTTTGTGATTTTCCCGAAACAGGGTACACAGTTATGAAACCTGATGTCATTTTCAAGTTGGAACAAGGTGAAGAACCGTGGGTAGGAGATGGAAAAGTGCAGCATTCAGACTGTCCAGGTGAGTGTGAGAGATCCAGGATGGGAGGCAAAGAGGCCTGGTCTCAGCGGGGCAGTGGTGGGTGGAGTCTTCGACATGTGCCTCAGGAACTTTTTCAGAATCTAAGCCACTGTGCTGATGCAGAGCAGTTGGCATCAGCTACTCAGGTAAATCACTTAGCTGTGTCTTATTTGTAGCTTAAAATGAAACATTTTGTCCTGATAAAAGGCCTGGCAGTTTTTCTGGTCTGTTGAATCAAGGACTTGGGCTTCCTGTTTGATCTTTCCTTGGGTCAAAGACACTTCTGCTTGTGAATGCCAGAATTTTATTTTTAATTCGATTTAGGAGTACCCTACAAAGACTGTTAATTGTCACTGTAATAGAAAATGAGGGCCAGGTATTTAGCTCAGTGGTTCTGCCACCTACCTTGCAAACACAAGGTTTTGAGTTTGATCCCTGGTACCAAAAAAAAGAAAGAAAAAAAATGAAATCATCATTTTTCCCCAAGACACCCTCCCCGCTTTTAAACTAGATTCTGCTCTGTTTTTCCATAGTTTAGACACAATGTAAAAGTAATCAGTTTCTACCATTCTTTCTTACTTTAAATATTTTGCTTTTTGGAAAGTTTTATTTTATTTTAGATTTTTTTGATACTGGGGATCAAACTTAGGACCTTGGCTTGCGAGGCAGGCATGGTGCCACTGAGCTAAATCCCTGGCTTGGAAGGTATCATTTTAAAACTTTCCCTCCTTGACTTCTACTTAAAACGATAGCCATGAAGCTGGGCATGGTGGCACATGCCTATAATCTCAGCATTTGAGAGGCTGAGACGGGAACGCCATGAGTTTGAGGACAAACTGGGCTACATAGTTCAAAGCCAGCCTGAACTATATGGCGAGACTCCATCTTATTCCCTCCCCAAAAGAAACAACAAAAAAAACTGTGCCCATGGTTTCCCTTTCCTTAAGTTTCTCAAACTGTTAGGTGGATCTAAGTTATAATCTTTCATAAGTTATCTTCAGTAATATGCACCACAATTTGATTTTCTAAATCTACCAGTACACGTCAATCACTTGAACTTCCTTATACTGATTTACTCCAGATTCCCTCAGAAACAGATCCTGGATACATATCCAAGAGCAAGAACTTATTGGGATGCGGTCTCCCCAAGTACATTGGGAAAATGGGGACTTGAGATGGGGATACCAGATGCCAGTGACAGGTGGCATTGCTTTGGGCCATGGGGACACAGTGCTGCTGAGAGTTCTCTAAGGCACTGTGAGAGCTCATTCCTGCCCTGAGCTTCCCAGGATTTACCCTTATGGCAAGTCTTGAGATGTCCAGTGTCCATGCACATACCCCTTTAAAGTGGGGAGTGACATGGGTGCCTGGGTTTAAACATTTCTCATTGTTTTCAGACATTCAACATTTATTCTCTGCATCTGAACTGATTATGCTGTGAATTGTGTAGAAATTCTTTTTCCTTTCTGCAGGAACTGAGTGTTCATTATACTCATTTATGAGATGTTCCTTGAATACTTTAGCCTACATTGTTTTCCCCTTTTTCTGAAGTTCCATCCCAGACCTGATCACATTGTTTATAATATTTTTAGTTGTTCAGTCCCTGAGTTTTATTTGCACATACAGATACAAAGACTTATCATTTCATATCTGTGCTTTATTTATGGAGCACATAGTATTTTTTTCATGCAGTTTCTCTCTGCAGCATTTTTTTTTAGCATAGACTTTTGTAGTCCGGGCATGTATCACATTACCTGGGGATTTTTCTCCAGCTTCTGGTGTCATAGATCCATTACCAAAAACTGTTTGAGTAGAATGATATACTTGTAGTTTTAAACTGGTTGAGCTTTCTGTTTCATTGCAAATCAGTGCAAAGTTAGCTATCTGTCAAACTGGGATTGTGTGTCTGGTCCCCAAGATCATCCCCATGTTCAGAGTCATAAGAAGGGCTCCTGGGATTGAGCATGTATATGTCATTGTGGCTGGGGTTTATTTCCGTGCCCTAATGAAGTCACTAAGCTAGATTATAGGAGAGGCCCAGACTGTCTGAAAAAACCTGTGTAGCAGCTTCTCATGCTCTTGCAAGTGAGTCATAGTGACACCTGTCCAGTGTGTCTGCCCTCTGGGAGCCCATCACTGACCAGATATTTGCATCCTTTCTGGGGCTGGCTAGGTGGTCCACTGCCTCATACCTGCTAGCCTGTCAACACCTAGAAAGAGGTTGTGTGTTCATATGCCTTCGTAGTTCAGGGAACAGTGGGAGCAGTGCTGGAACCACAGTTCCCAGACGCCAGCCAAGGGCAATGTTGTTGGCGGCCTCTCTGGACAGCAGTCTTGGCTACTGATTGAATACGTACTGATTTCTTCTGTTTTCCAGGGTTGTGCTGGGTACAGTAGGGAGCATGAGAATTAGATCCCCAATCCATAATGCTTACTTTCTATTAGGAGGATAAAAAAATGAACAGGTTAGCCTATAACCAAGAAAATAACCAGACCCTGATGAGTACTATCATAGAAGTAAATTAGATGATATAGTAGAGAATAGTGTATTAGTCTGCCATAACAAATGACTACAGAGTGAAAGAAATTTACTTCTTACAGTTCTGGAGGTAGGGAAATGCAAAATCGGGTTTTGCTCTTGACAGCTACCTTCTTGCTGGTGCTCGTACAGCTTCTTCCCTGAGTGTCAGGAGAGAGAGGACACTCCAGTGTCTCTTCTGCCACAGATCACGGTCCCACCTTTTTCCCCTCATTGAACTGTAATTACTTCCTTAGGGACTCTTATTTTCCAATGCAGACATACTGGAAATTAAGAGTTCAACAGAGGAATTTTGAGAGGACACAAACCTTTAGTCTATAACACAATAGTGTGGAGAAGACAATTCTAGATATGAAGAATGAGGGGCGTGGTGGTTATGCTTGTAATCCCAGCATTCAGGAAGCTGAGGCAGGAGGATTGTTGTGAGTTTGAGGCCAGCCTAAACTACATGGTGAGCCCCTGTTTCAGGAAGACAAAACCAAACCAAACTAAAATAAATACAAAGAATGTGAAATGAACAGGCAGTGTGAAAAACTGGTGGGCAGTATGTCCAAAAGGAGGGACAGCTATGAATGAGAGAAGTGAGAAGAAGCTTAGTGATGTTAAGGTGCTGAAAGGAAGCCTGTGTGGCTGGAATTCTGTGTGCTGGAGAGCCCAAGATAGGTGGAGGAATCAGATCCTACCTCTACTTGTAGGCACCAGAAAGGGTTAGGATTACTTGAAGTAATTTAAATAAAACCAAATTTCTGGTTTATATTTTTAGAAGTTAATTCAGACCACAGAGTAGGAAATTAAATGGAAGCCAGTACATCAGTTAGAAAGGTATGTCTTCTATCTAGGCTTGGCCTGGTGGCATATGCTTGTGATTCCACTGCTCTAGGAGGCTGAGGAAGGAAATTGTTATTTGGAGCCCAGCTTAGGCAGTTTGGCAGTTTAGTGAGACCCTGTACTGAAAATAAAAAAGTGGCTGAAGATATAGCTCAGTGTGAAGGATCTGGGTTCAATTCCTTGTATTGCCTAAAAAAAAAAAAAAAAGAAAAAAAGAAGATCATTTAGATGATATGATGGACTAGAGTGTAACAGAGAAAAGTAGTAAAGACAGTGAAGGTGTTGAGATAGATCACAGATGACCTAGTATAAGTCATTCTCATCTTGCTTTCTCTCTTCTTTCCTTTCTCTTTCTTTCTCTTTCCCTCCCTCCCTCTCTCCCTTCCTTCTCTGTCTGTCTCTTTGTCTATTTCATAGTACCAGGGATTGAACCTATGGGCATTCTCCCAGCGAGGTACCTCCCCAGCTGCCATCTCAACACACATTTTCTTTAAATTTTCAGATAGGACTTCACTAAATTCCCCACACTGATCTTGAAGATAGGATTATCTTGCCTCATTGTCAGAAGGTGACATTACAGGCATGTGCCATTGTACCCACCTATTCCCACATTTCTTTTTTTGGGGGTATCGGGGATTGAACTCAGGTCCTTGCTCTTGCAAGGCAGGCCACTGAACCGCTGAGCTAAATCCCCGGCTCTCTTTTTTTTTTTTTATAGCGGGATCAAACTCAGTACCTTGCACTTGCACTTGCAAGGCAGGCACAGTGCCACTGACCTAAATCCATGGCCCCCCACATTTCTTGATTTTATATATATATAAAATTATATATTTTATATATATATTTGGGGGGGGTACTGGGGATCGAACTCAGGTCCTTGCACATGCAAGGCATTTACCAGAGTCACTGAGCTACATCCCCGGCCCGATAATATATTTTTTAAGTTCAGAGTCTTCAAATGCATCCTAAGACTAAAGCATCTACAGTGGAGTCTCAATTTAACTTAGACTTTGTTCTTTTCCACCTCAGTAATTAACACCATAATTTACTGAATTGGTCAGCCCCAGACCTAGGAATTTTTTTCTTGGTACTGGGGATTGAACTCAGGACCTTATACTTGCTTGGCAGGCACAGTGCCACTGATCTAAATCCCTGACCCTAGGAATCATTTTTGATTCCTTTCTTTCCTTGTCCTGTCCATATCAGATCACTAGCAAGTCTTGCTGATTCTTTTTTCATAAGGGCTTTTATGACTAACAATGAGTTAAGCATTTTCCACAGATATATTGCCTCCATGATCATTGAAATCTGTGGAGGTTTCACAGTACCAGTTATCTTTCATACCTTTTACGTATGACCTCACAAAGCATCCTGAGTCCAAGTTTTTATTAGAAAGCAGTGCTTTTGAAGAGCACTTAACAACATGAAGAGAAGTGGTTGTGTTGTGAGGATGAAGGAAGTAGAGTTGGTGAGAAATGACTGTGTCTTCTCCTATGGGAACTTGTGTCTTGAGTCCTTTCATTGAGAATTCACCTGAGTTTAAAAGTTCTGTGCCTGAAAAGTTAACATGAAAGAGGATTATTTTGATAGCATGTTGCTTGAAGTGTTTACTTGGTAATAAATGTTAGAGGTGCATACAGCCCAATTTAAAACTTTCAGAAAACCTAGGAATGGGAAAAATGCACAAATAATTTTTTATTCTTTAAGCTTGAAGTAGTTGTAGCCTATTACTCTGTCCAGTCTGTCTATTTTCTAGTCCTTACCAAAGTATCACTTTGTTTCATAAAAATACTCTATTTTGAAACAAAAACAACAACAAAAAAACCCCAAAACTCTTATTTTGAGCTGAGGATTTAACTCAGTTGCACCACACCTGATTCACAAGCTCAAGGTCCTAAGTTTGATTCCTGGTACTGGGGAAAAAACAACAACTTGATTTTCAGTCTTCTCTACTGACATGTAAGTTTCTTGCTCTGTTCTACAGTACTTGTACTGCCTGGAGTGTGTGTGTGTGCGTGCCTGCTAGGTACTGAATTATCACATCCTAGAACCTTGGACCGGGGTCTCCTCCTGCCTCCTTGTTGTATTATTGCTCATTATGTAGTTTTTATATTCTTTCAACTTTTGTTTGTTAATAGCCAGAGATGATTTACCTACAGACAGTTTCCTGTTTGTTTTTTCAGTATTTCTCATGTTTTTCAATATGTAGAAGATAGGCATCTTCTTTATTTCATACTCAGAAGCTAATCCTTAACAAGCAGTCAGACCCTCAACATAGCATTTTTGGTGTTTTTCCATGAAACGCAGCCAAACAGATTTTCTGTTTTTATTGTAGAAGTCTGGCAAGTAGATGATCACATGACATGGCGACAGGAGAATCAAGACCAGCCTAGAAGTTTGAAAAGAGGTCATGAGTGGGATGTGTTTGGAAAAAACTTCACTCTCAGCATGGATTTTGTTCCATTAAGTAAATCAAATAGTGAAGGTGATTTAGATGGATTGATTTTAGAACATCATTTAGATTTACTTATCCCAGAAGCAGACTGTGGAAGAAGAGAATCAGATGACTTTAATGTATTTGATAAATTGTTTCTCAATACCAAGCCTCAGGAAGCTGATACTTGGTTAAAATACTATGAATGTGATAAATGTAATAATATTAACTATAAAAAGTCCCAGATTGTCATTTATCACAGAACTCGTCTAGGGGAAAAACTTTATGAATGCAGTGAATGTAGGAAGCGCTTCAGCAAGAAGTCAAGCCTCATTAAACATCAGAGCAGACACATAAGAGAGATAGCTTATGGCTGTTGTAAATGTGAGAAAACCTTTCCCCAGAAGTCACAGTTCATCACGCACCACAGAACTCATACTGGAGAGAAACCTTACGACTGTGGCCAGTGTGGGAAAGCTTTCTCACAAAAGTCACAGCTCACATCCCATCAGAGGACACACACGGGAGAGAAGCCTTATGAGTGTGGTAAGTGTGGCAAAGCCTTTTCCCGGAAGTCTCATCTCATATCACATTGGAGGACACACACTGGAGAGAAGCCTTATGGATGCAGTGAGTGTGGGAGGGCCTTCAGTGAAAAGTCAAATCTCATTAATCATCAGAGAATTCATACAGGAGAGAAACCGTTTGGATGCAGGGAATGTGGGAGAGCCTTTAGCAGAAAGTCACAACTTGTGACACATCACAGGACTCACACAGGAACAAAACCCTATGGATGTAGTGATTGCAGAAAAGCCTTCTTTGAGAAGTCAGAACTCATTAGACACCAGACAGTTCACACTGGAGAGAAACCATATGAATGCAGGGAATGTAGGAAAGCTTTCAGAGAGAGGTCAAGCCTCATCAATCATCAGAGAACCCATACGGGAGAGAAGCCCCATGGATGCCTGCAGTGTGGGAAGGCCTTCTCCCAGAAGTCACACCTTATATCCCATCAGATGACACACACAGGAGAGAAGCCCTTCGTGTGCAGTAGATGTGGAAAGGCCTTCAGCAGAAAATCCCAGCTTGTTAGACATCAGAGAACTCACACAGGAGAAAAACCGTATGAATGTAGTGAATGCGGGAAAGCATTCAGTGAAAAGTTAAGTCTCACTAATCATCAGAGAATTCATACAGGAGAAAAACCCTATGTGTGCAGTGAATGTGGGAAAGCCTTTTGCCAGAAGTCACATCTCATATCACATCAGAGGACACACACAGGAGAGAAACCCTATGAATGCACTGAATGTGGGAAAGCCTTTGGTGAGAAATCAAGTCTTGCAACTCATCAGAGGACTCATACAGGAGAAAAACCCTATGAATGCAGAGACTGTGACAAAGCTTTCTCCCAGAAGTCACAGCTAAACACTCACCAGAGAATTCACACAGGAGAGAAACCTTATGAGTGCAGTCTTTGTAGGAAAGCCTTCTTTGAGAAGTCAGAGCTAATTAGACATCAGAGAACTCATACAGGAGAAAAACCTTATGAATGCAGTGAGTGCAGAAAAGCCTTCAGGGAGAAGTCAAGTCTCATTAATCATCGGAGAATACACACAGGAGAGAAACCTTTCATATGCAGGGAGTGTGGCAAAGCCTTCTCTCGGAAGTCACACCTCATTCCCCATCAGAGGACACACACAGGTGAGAGGCCTTATGGCTGCAGCGAGTGTAGGAAAGCCTTCTCTCAGAAGTCACAGCTTGTGAACCATCAGAGGATTCACACAGGAGAGAAGCCTTATCAGTGCAGTGAGTGTGAGAGAGCCTTCTCCCAGAAGTCTCAGCTTATTAACCACCAGAGAACTCACACAGGACCAAAGTCCTAGGAGTACATAAGTGAGCCTAATAGATGTACACCTCATTTGCACAGAAAATGCAGTTATGGTGAATCTTGTGTCAACAGTTGCATTCCATTGTGTGTCAGACTGTCCTGTAAGACTGTGTAAATGAGTTTATGGCAGGAACATTTCAGCAGGCAAGCATACTCATATATCAGCACTCATGGAGGGCAGCGAACCTGTGAGTGCAGTGAGTCTCTGGAATCTTCCTAAGCACTTGAGTCTTGTTCCCTGGGCAGACCAAGGAGGGATCCTGTGAATGCCAGAAGGCCTTCTGGAGGTCAGTCTCATTAGCCATTAGAAGTACAATTTGAGGAAAAACTTTGAAACAAGTGTTGTTATATGTTTAATCAAGAAATAACAACTCATTGTACTTAAAATGACCTTAGGAATGAAATTATATGAAAAAATAATTTTTCATCAGGCAACCTAGCTGCATTGTGTTTTGGAAAGTTTATATTGCAGATAAATCTAACAGACATTGGAAACATGCCTCTAGAAATAATGCTACGAAGGGAAGCCATCCATGTTTCTTGTTTTTCTTTTTTCTTCTTTTTTTTGAGGCAAGGTCTTGCTGTGTAGTTCATAATGACCTTAATTTCACTATGTGGCCTAGGCTGGCCTTGAACTCGTGGTGATCTTCCTGCCATAGCCTCTTGAGAGTTTAGATTACAGGTGTATATTTCTTATAGATAAGTGGGATCAATCTCTATTCCTGATGGTTGACAAGTGTTCACTCTGGATTGTGAAGTTTTTAAAACATGGAACTAAATTGAAACATCTGAAGAAGAAAATTCTTAGTGGTGTTTGTGACTTACTGTCCAGTGCTACATATATTTCATATGCTTTGATTACTATTTACAGTTGAAAACTTAATTGGGAGCATGAAATGTATATGCCTTATAGTGCCTCTTGATATGTCAAGACACACTGCATATCCAGTTTTTCTGCTTTAGTCATGAAAAGAGACACTCATAACATGGCCTGTTGCTGTATAAGTAGATTAAATAATATCACATTTCTTTTATTGTTAATGTTTGCATATATTTTTATTCTCTTTAGTAAAGAAATGAACATTTTATTAGTTTTCTACATTCATAAAATCTGAGAAAGTTTATATAAAATCCTGTTAATAATTTTGCAAAGATAACCAAGATTAACAATAGTCATATGAGACTGAACAGAAGAGTGCATAAACTATATTCCTTAACACTCATGTATATAAAAGGATGTTTAACTGTAAAATTCTCTTATTTGGTGGCCTGCTTCCATGTCTTGCCTATATATCTTAAGTGCTGTGTGACCCAACAATGCATAGTATTTTAATTTCCTATGATGACATACAAATATGTTGTGCTGCTGCTGTGTTGTGGTATTTCATAAAATATCTTGTAAAATACCAGATGGATAAAGCAGACACTGACTAGTGACTTCTCAGAAAATGTGAAATATAGAGAATTTTGTGGTTAAAAACATTGTGCTGGGGATGTAGCCCAGGGGTAGAGTGCTAGCCTATCATGTAGAATGTTGTGTATTCCATCCCCAGAACTGCTCAAAAACGATAAAAATTCTTAACACATTGAGGGATGTATTTTGTTTTCCTGTGTGTTTTTGGGGTTGCTTACAAGTATTAGGAAACAGTTTTCATTATTTCTTAATGTGAAATATTTGTTTTACCTTTTTTCACCTATTGCCTCAGCTAAGTGGGAAACTGTTAGTAACTTACTGTTATTCTTTCCTTTAAAAGACCTGAGGCAGCTTTTAGTTAAGTTAGGATTTTGTAGTTTTTTTCTCTCAATATTACTTGAGAAAGGATTTTTTTTTTTTTTTGGCATGTAATAGACAAAAATCTGACATAGAGCTTGATTCCAGACTTAGAAAAATTAAGATTTCTTTTCAGCACCTTTTTTTTCAAAGTGGTGCATTTCATCTTTGATTCTAACAGTATTTTTCCTTTAATTACAATTATGCAACATTGTTAGAAAGTTAGAATTTTTAATAAATGAGAATACTTTTATAAACCAGTGGTGGTGAATCTATAACACACAGGCCAGACTTGGCTGTTTGTTATCATTTAAAGTTCTAAAAGGTTTTTCCTTACTGTTCCTAAACAAGATACTAGTATTTTAATATCTGTATAATCCTGCCTTTTCTCACAGTAATTTTTAAAGCATCCAGCTTCTCAATTTTTAAATTCATATTCAAATTAGTGGCCTGCCAGTCGTAGTGGTGCACACTTGTAATCTCAACAGGAGGATCACTGCAAGTTCAAGGCTAGCCTGAACTACATAATGAGGCCCTTTTTCAAAAAACAGAAACAAACAAAAGCTTGTGGACATCCTACTTTTGTCCTTAATACTTGACAGTTATTTTACCTGATGAGGGAGACAAACTCTTGTAAGTGAGCAAACATTAACAGGATGATGTTCTACTTTGTGATTCTATGCACGTTTCCCCTTATGAGTGCATTTCCCCTCTTATCAATCATGGTTTTTCTTTACAAGTTACAGAGATTGAGGCATTAGATCTTGGACCAGGTCAAGAGTCTCTTATCTAAAAATGTCCTAATTTTGCTCATTCAGATTCTAGATTATGCCATTGAGTATTAAGCAGTTAAAATTAATACTGCCTTCAAAGCTGGGCATGGTGGCGCATGCCTGGAATCCCAGCACTCGGGAGGCTGAGGCAGGAGGATCGCTGTGAGTTCGAGACCAGCCTGGGCTACATAGTGAATTCCAGGTCAGTCTCAACTACATAGTGAGACCCTGTCTCAACCCCCACCCAAAAAAAATTAATACTGCCTTCAGTAGACAGTGAAACTTCTGCACTAGCAAAGAGAAAAAACTTATAATGGTCATGTTGTAATTGTAGGGTGGGCAGATATGGACCATAGAAAATCTAGATCATCTGATCCTGGGTGTGAGCCCATGTGGCTTTGAGGCCCCCAAAGTACTGCCTTTCTGAAGGGCATGATGGAGCTCTGACTCTGGAAATAGAAACCTTTAGTGTCTGTTTTGCAAATAATCTTGGTAAACTACAGAAGTGTGTCTGTTTCCCTTATTGGTTTTTACCATAGACTCCACATCGAATAAAAGATAGCAGTAGACTATTTGTCCCTGTGGTTTCATGGAGCATAAGAGATGCCACATAGGAAGCATCTATTTCTTTTCCCCACTAGGTTCTACCACTGGTAATTGTACATAGTTACATGAAGGATGGTTCCATTGTTTTCCTTTTAGTAAGACATGGGGATTTTTGGAAGTCTAGTCTCTGGATTTTGAGACTTTTCTCAACTTTTCCTTGAGGTTCTGACATAGTTATTTGTGGATCCATGCTTTTTTATTTTGATTTCAAGAACGATACCTTAGATCCCTAAAATGAAATAAACTAGAAGAATACCAGCTTTATGTAACAGTATCTTTGTTGAATAGCAGACATTGCTCAGTAGACATTTGGCTCTGTACTTGTGGCCTCCTAGGTCATTTAATCATTATTGCATCAATATGTGTCCACTTTGTCCATTCCTCTGTGTTTGGTAATCTACATGGTTCCAACAAGCTTTCATATTTCCAGTACCTACCCTGTCCTAAGTGCTCACAGATTCATCCATGTAGTTGCATGTGTATTTTATGCCCCTTCCCTTTGTTTTTACTTCATTTTCATACTTAAACATTGTAATTTTTCTAAAATGCAACTCTTATCCCATGTTGAAATATTGTGTTACTCCCTGTGGACTTAAAATGTAATAATCTTATTGTATTGGAGGAATTTTATACCATGCCTATTTACTGTTTATAAGCACATTGTTTCTGCTTATGGAATATTTTCTGGCCTTCTAGTCCTACTTGCAGTTTCTTGAGACTTCTATAGTCTCATTTTGTGCTTTTGTAGATCTGCAGTGAAATGCCCTTGCTACTTGTTAATACTAATCCAATATTTTGTATCTATTCATTTGTACCTGTATTTTCTTGCTGTGGTAATGTAATCATTGCATGTTTTTTATTAGAAGGCGTCTATGGCAGCTGGAACTCTATATAATTTTAGAAGCTGGAGCTACATTTAAATGTGGATGCTGCCAATGGCTTTATTTCCAGCTCAATGGAGAGAAACATGATCTGCAGTGATAAGAGTGAGTCATGGAAGCATGATCTAGAGAGGGCTAATTCTGTGCTGGTGACTGGTTCTTGTCTTCCTATCCAAATCTCTGCCCTTTCCATTCCTTTACTATTGAGTTCTTCTGTGAGATATTCCAAGTATCTGGTAATAAATTCTCATGTTTGTTTCAGCTCTCTTAAGTTGTATTTGTTGCTTACAATCAGAGTATTCCTACTAACAAGAATCAAGCTGTGAAGTTGGGTTTCTGGATTCATTGGGTGCAAGGTATGTACTGAAACCAGTAGCTACAAATGAATAGGGAAGAGCAGAGAAAATGAGACTGCACTCTGGGTTGTCCCAAGCCAGAGGGATTTGTGGAGCAAATTGCTCATCAGAATATCTCTTGTCAGACAAGACACAGGCTGCCTTGGAGGCAGCATCCTTGGTAAAATGGAAGAGGCAGCTGTTGAGACTGCTGATAGCTCTCTCTGCTACTGGACAGCAAGGGGATCCCTGAAGAGGAATCTGGTTGCTGCATCCTTGGGATTACACATTCTGTCTTTTCCTCCATTTAGACTCTTCTTTTGTCATTGAGGAAGCTGCTGCTGTGGGATTCTGGTGGGCCTTCTGAGGAGAGACTAAAGTGAGTAGTTCCCACCCCTCATCACATCTATTCCACATTTTCATTGTAATTGTGCTCTCTCTCCTGTTATCCAGTCTGAATTCTCATATTTCATCAGTACTTCTGCTGGCACCCATGGCAGATCTGCTGGTGTCCCAAGACTGTCTGAGCTTTGATCACCAGGCCCTTCTCAGACCCAAGTTGCTATGTCTGCTCATTTTCTAAAACATTTGGACAAAGCCTGAGCAAGTATCCAGGGGATCAACTGAGTTCCTCTTCTGTTCCTGCCCTGTTGTTTAACAACAACTCTGCCTCCTTAAAATCAGTGTCAAGTGTCTCCGGAAGATCAAGTCTTCTGGTCTGCTCATCTCCACACATGGTACACAGAGTTTCCATGTTGTATCTGTGGCTTACAATTTAGAACACTTACTCTGTCCCACACCAAAAATGTGCTCCTTCAAGGATCTGGATCTCTGGCCTTATAGAACCCAGGGTTATCACAAGAAGCACAGTCCTCCAGAGGGTCTTTGGTAATGGCAATAGATGTTCCTGCTTTGACCAGGGAACATGGGCACCCATCTGTCATCTCCATTGTAATTACAGCCCAGTTCTGTGCCAGGTTCTACCCTCAGCCTGCCCATGGGGAGGAGCCACCATGGGACTTCCTATTTTTCAGTGCTTTCCTGATGATGTTTGTAACCCCTCCTGTGGGTCTGGTCACTGTAGTTAGTACATCTCTCCTCTTATGGGTGCTAATACTGTGGGGTCGTCACTCTCCTGTAGTCTCTATCCCTCTCTCCCATCTTCCATAGACTCTTCACCTTTTCAGCTTGTCCCAGTTGGCTGTCACCTTTGTCCCATTCTTAAGAGCACCTGTATTGAACTTGTACCATCTCTTGGGGGTCTCATTTGAAGGTTAAAGGAAGGCTCTCATGGAAGCTTCCAAAATTAAGTTTTTCTCTGTGTAGTTTCTTGCTATAGTGCTCAGGCCCCTCCTGAGTCCAGAGACATAGGTGCTCCTCTTGGTTTTGCTGGCCCATTTGGCTAATTCTGTACCTCTTCTGCGATATAGTATGTTCCCTCCCTCTTCAAGCATGGCACCTTGCCACATGCTGTGACTAGTGGTATGGCAGTTTGGGGGTTGTCTTCCAGAGCAGAGGCTTCTGCATTGTATTTCAGGAAGGGCAGTAATGGGGAAGATAGTTTTTACTAGGATGTGATGGGTACCTCTCTTCTCTTCTGCAGGCTCAGTGGGATCAGAAAAGTCTGGAGGGGCAAAAGTCCTCTGTTCTGAAGCTTCTATTGCATATAATGTATCAAGGCCCCTTTCCAGGTCAGCACCCCAACTCAGGACAGGACTGCCCTGCTTGGTGTTTAGCCTTCTTTGAAGTTAAACTGCTCAGACATTTTGCTGCTGCTGCTACAGGATACAAGAGCTTTGTATGGAACCAGAGTTCCTCTGACATTCACTCCTGAATTTTAGTGCTTATGTTTTGGCCTCAATTGATTTGTTAGCTTTTTGTAGAGTGGTCTTTAGCAGTAGTCACCCAATCCTGTTATTTTGGTAATTCTCTTTCCATCCTGAAGTTCAAATACCTGACACATAACACCATGTGCTGCATTCTTTTGTGGGGGAACACCCCTTGTGCCCAGGGCAATCTGTTCTCCACCCATACAGCATGGGTTTGAAGTGGCAGCAATGTATGGCATAGACTAGTCATATAAGCTTTTAAACATACACGTGTAGCCTTTTAAGCTTCTTATTTGATTTGGATTGAGGAAAGTATATCTTCCCTGAAGCACCATGTTTTTAAAAAATACTTTTTTGTGTGCAAAGTTCCTAAGACTTGAAGTCAATGGGATATTGTAAGCATGCCTGGACCAGACCATCCAGATAAATACGGCCAAGGGACACTGGCAACTGGGCAAATTACTGTTACCTGTAGAATTGGCTTTTCTGCCCCTATGCTGAGTTAGCGGTTCCTGAGCAGCCAGTAATATCCTTGGTATGTAGTTGAATTCATAAAACTCATACCTGTGTGACCTTGTATGGGGCAATTCATCCTTCCAATTAACACTGTTACCGAGTATCTCCTTGGAGATTTTTGTCAAATACTGATTTGGAAAAGCACATGCCCCTATGGCCCTTCTGAGTAATTCTATTGGACCCTTTTGCTCTAGACCCTTCCCTGTTAGTATCAATTCTTATACTAAGTTGTAAACTTTGTCTCCCGCAAGCCTACATCAGATATTTTATTTGAGTTCAGCAAACTGCCCCACTTCCCTGGAACAGCTAGGATGTGACAGGGGCATTCATTCATCTCTCATCTCTCCCTCTCAGTGCTGGAGATTGAACCCTGAATAGTGAAAGGGACTTTGCAGAAATGGAAAGATGCTTCAGGGTAATCACAAGTTGTCATTGTAAGAAGAAGCCAAAGGCAATTTCACTGCAGAATGCCATGATCCATTGTGATAAACTCTCAGTTAGCCATTACTAGTTCTGGAGGTGGAGAGAAGCCAGGAGCCACAACAGTGAGGATGGCACCACAAGCCTGAAAAGTCAGGAGACAGGTCTCTCCCTGGAGCCTCCAGACGGAAATGGCCCTGCTGGTTAAACGGCTTGAAGATAAATGCGTGTGTTTTTGAGCTATGGTGTGGTGATGAGCTACAGCAATAATAAACTACATACCAGTCACAAGGCTACCAGGGCCCATGTATCTGTGAGTTGTCCCTTGCCTAGTGATCTGTGGCCCACTTTTCCCTGCTACATGTCACCCATACTTAATTATGCAGTTTCTGTGGAACTTTTTTTTCTTGCTGGTGGATTCCACTCAGAGAAAATGTGGATTCCTATGGGTTCCAAGAATGTCTAAAGAAGCAGTGTAATTATATCCCAGAATACCAAAGGCACAAGTTTTCCCAAGGCCACCAGTGATAACAAAAATAACAATAGCAAAAAGACAAATAGGACACAGGCTGTTTGAGAAGCTTCAAGGGAGGAAAAGTCATCTTTCTTCCACCTTTAGATTCTAAGCTAGAAGTCTTTTAGCTAAAAGCCCTAACGAGGAAAACAAGCACACAGATGATTCTGTGTTTGCAGAAACAGCAGGGGCAATGAGTACTTCTCTGTCACAGACAAAAAGAAATAGGACTTTGAGCCTAAACACCAAGTTTTTGAACCCAGGAGGCAGCTGTGGGAAGGTTGTTGACTATGCAGTACCCTGGATGGTCGCATTGTCCCATCCTGCTGCCTGGAAAATAATATCTGGCTCCTGCTGTGCCACCCTTAAATGATTCCTTTACAATTTAGAACATCTTGCTGTTGTGATTAATAACTGGGGTTCCTGTCAGTTTCCCTCAGTGTTTGTTTTCCCTCAGTGTTTGTTTTAGTTGGGTCTTGCTATGTTACTCGGGCTTGCCTGGCTGTTTTCTTTCCTTAGTCTCCTGAGTAACTGGTAACTGGGACCACAGGTGAGGTTCATTCTGTATAGGATGGAGCTTGGTCAGCCATGACCCATGACAGTCTAGTCAGCTACCATTTTCTATGGCCCAGAGTTCCCACATTTTAAACGTCCAAAGAATTAATATTTCATGATATATGATAATTATATAAAATGAATTTTTAGTGTCTAGAAAAAAGGTTTACTTGTGACATAACCAAGCACTTTCATCACCTGTGTTGTTTTTGGCTACAAGTACAGGATCCAGCAGTTAGACTGAAGAACTTGAAGAGCCAGAAATATTTACTGTCTGGACCTTTACCAAAAAGTTTGTCACATGTGTAGAACTTTGATTCAAGAAGCCTTTTAAGATGATCTGGTTTGCCCACGAAGGCAAGGGAGGCGCACAAGGCCACATGGCTAGTCCACGAGAGATCTCTTCTGTTGTGTACACTCCTTACCACTATAAAGGAAGAAGGGCCCACTGGTGGTTCTTACCTACCGAAGCCAGGAATTTGGAATGAATTGTAGAGAACAGTAAGGTCAGTATGCCAGCTGAAGGGTTTGATACATAGGGCATCACGGAGCTGTTAATAGATCATGACTCTTTGGGGCTGAGCAAGATGAGAAGGCAATAAAGATACTTGTAAGCATTTATAATCAAAGAAATATTCTGGTTATGGGGTTAGATGCTTGTAATCCCAGCACTCTGGGAGGCTGAGATAAGATCACAAGTGTGAGCCCAGCCTGGGCAACTTAGCAAAATCTTGTCTCAAAAATAAAGGGCTGGGGATGTAGCTCAGTGTGACAGTCCTGCATTCAATCCCTAGTACCATCAAAAATCAAACAAAAAACAAAAGAATGAGCAGGAGAGCAAGGGATTGAGGGCAGCTTTCATAATGAAGTGTCCTGATTCTTGAATTTGAGCTGATACTTAATCAGGAAAACACGAGGTAGCTTGGAGGGCTGTGGATTTAGCTTAGTGGTACTGCACCTGTCTTGTACGTGCAAGGCCATGAGCTGGATCCCCGGTACTGAAAAAAAAAAAAATTAAAAAGGTAGCTTGGTTCCCAAGAGGAAGAACCCTACAGTGACATGGCAAGTATGTCCAATCTGCACGACTCCAGTCCTTCATCAAAGACTAATAAATAGCCATTTAATGGGTGGTCTGTACCCTCCTTAAAAGGGAAGATCCAGGAGTTTTGAAGATGTATAGACACAAAGTCTGAGCTGGTAGTGACACTCAGACATCCAAAGCATCATTGTGATGTTTGAAATAGGACTCATGGATCCTGCCTGTGAATGCTGTCCTAAACAGACCAGATCTCCCTCTAGGTCCAGTGATTCCATGGACTCATGTTGGCCATTTGCTTGGTCTCTGAATACATAATTGGAATTGACAACATGGGTAATTGGATAAACCCCCTACAATGGATCATTGGTCATAATAGGTTATTAGGAGCACCTGGAAGTCACTCAGGTAATACAGTAAAATCAATATTGCATTTGAGGGAGAGGGCTGAGATCAGTGCCACCATTAAAGACCTAAAAGATACAGTATTAGTGGACCTGTCATATTCC